TCAACTAACAAATTGGTCCCCTAAAACTTATAGAAAGAGCATCTCTGAATGAAACGAGCCACCATTTTCCTTTATCGTGTTTACTTCCTTGATGCCTCAAATGTAAACAAATCGTCACCGACACCACGAAGTAACACTCTACCGTGTTAAAGCATATTTTTTCGATTTTCAGTTTTTTTGATTTTTAAACATTATTCATCAAGGCCTACCATTGCACAAAGTTTCAAAGCTTCAAGAGCTTTACTTTGATAATTACGCTAAGTATCCATGGCAACTTTTGCGCAAAAGTGACAATTTTCGTTTTCACGAAGTAACACTCAAGTTCCATTTTCCATTGCAATGCATGGCGCACACTCTGCTCATAAGTGAGCAAAAACGTTTTCACGAAGTAACACTCTTCTTGTAACAAGTCGTATGAGCGCGCGCACGCTGACCTGAAGTTGCACTTTCCTCGTGTTGAATACATTGGAGAGTGTTACTTCGTGAAAACGAAAATTTACAGTTTCGCAGCTTTTTCGGTTTCACGAACTAACACTCATCTTTTTTCTCTTATTTCTTGTTTATTTAATACACAAACGAGTGAAAAACAGCAGATTTAATAAATTCATATCATCAAGTGTCCACAACGAGAAACCCAACTGAAAATACTCTGTCGTTTTGACGGAAAGTGTTGTTTTAGAAGGCGTTCAACTTTAGTTGCCGTTTTCTCCGATTGCTAGTTTTTACTGGTATGTAGATGGGTGTTACTTCGTGGTGTCGGTGACGAAATAATTAAAAATCCTACATTTCTGTTACCAAAATAATATTCTAGTTGAACTTATCGCAGAAATTTTATTTAAGCTGCACAAGATTTTTTTACGACATTTACCGAACTAATTGTACAAAAAATGACCAACATATTAAAGAATCATTATAAATTAAATAACGATGTCCGTGTGACTCTTTTAAGTTTCCTGTAATATATTTTCTCTTCAGATTTGTACTTTCAGGGCCCCCAATCTTCCCAAAGAGATTTGTGCCATGTGCAGTTTTTATTCAAAAAATGATGCCAAAAATGGAGTGAGTGAACGTTGAAAAATATTACTTTTACATTACAAAATTCATTTTTTAATAGCAGCTTTCTTTTAAAAAAAATAAAGGTCTTAAATACTAAATTCGTAAAAAGAAAACTATGCCCTTAAAACACGTTCGACCGAACAAAAAAAAAAGACGTAGCAGTTCGCCCAGTCACTCCGCAATCTCAGTGATCCAAGATCTCTGAAAAAAGAAAGACAAAACATCATTACTAAGAGAAAATACTACACAAATTTTAAAATAACACATCTGATGATCTGGATGAAAAGTGAAATTTACCGTTTATCAGTGAGGGCTCCGTCGACTCGCGAGTACCACACTGATGCCGTTTTGAAAATGTTCTCCGCGCGGTACCCGTCCGTTCGCGATGAAGCCCTTGCCGATGAATGGTACATTTTCCCTTTTCATCCAGATTGTGATCAACATTTGATACCACCGCCTTCAACTAATCCTTGAACTTTATTTGTATTTCTGGCGGCGTAACTACTATTTCTCAGTTGCCGTTTTTGAGGGTAAAATCGGAAGTTTTGTTAACCATCCATCCGTACTTCCAAACTAAAAAAGGAGGGGAGTACGAGTTGACCTGGGTGCGAGTTGACCCGGGTACGAGTTGACTCGGGTACGAGTTAACCTGGGTACGAGTTAACCTGGGTACGAGTTTACTTGGGTACGAGTTGACTCGGGTACGAGTTGACTCGAGTACGAGTTGACTCGGGTACGAGTTAACTCGGGTACGAGTTGACCCAAAATCCTTCGCGACGCCCATGCTCATGAGGATCGTCTTCAAAATAAGTGATTTGTGGTAATTTTGCTCGATTCCCGAGTCACGCAGGTCGAGACCGAGTCCAAGGGCGGATCCAGAACACAATTTTTTTGGGGGGGGGGGCAAAAACAAAAAAAATTGGTCCCCCCCCCCCAAAAAAAAAGTGGGTCAAAAAATTACGGCGTGGGGTTCGGGGCCCGCTTAAGGGCCCCGAAAATTTTTTGGATTCTAGATGCTCTGTGGTGCGATCTGAGGCAATTTCTGACCACTTTAACCAATGTTTTTTTGAGGAAAAGATGGTGGTGTACTCAGTGCCTGCCTTTATTGCGATGTCACATAAAAAATTAAAAAATGGGTTTCGTTTTGGGGGGCCATGGGGCCATGGCCCCCTTAGGCCCCCCCCCCCCCCCCCCCTGGATCCGCCCTTGACCGAGTCGGCACGGACTTCGCGTTGGTCTCGGTATCGACCAATGGAAGCCGGCAAAAAGGGTGATATTAAGATCCGTTTTTTGACTAACTACCAAACACATTTGCCATTACCAAATTAAAACACAGAAGTTACGAACTCTCTTCTTACATTTTCATTTATTTCATTACTCCAGTCCTGCATTTTACAGGTGCAGAGTTTGAACCATGCAATCACTGAACGACAAACAAATTGCAAAAGTTCGTGTAATTACAGCAAAGGCAGTTTACATGAAATATTTGTACAATTAAATACATTTGTAGCTTTTCCCTTACTCAAAAATCAGTACTTCGCTGAGAAGAATCCATGCTCGTTAATCATGTCTGTAAAGGACAATCAACATTATTTTTTTAGGTTTTCATCACTGCAAAAGTTCGTGTAATTTCAGCAAAGGCAGTTTACATGAAAAGATTGAGCCAAAAAAACGTCAGATAAATCTAAAGAAGACACAACAAACATGAAAATAATTAAGTACCAGTCAGCTGTTTAAAGGGAAAATACAACATTTGCAAACATCAAAAAATAAAACTACCAAATCATTTTGAAATACCTTGCTGGACTGTTAGTGAATGACAGTGTAAAGCATCCTGTAAAATCATGGCACCTGGTATACTGTCATTTTCAAGAAAAATGGTATTTTTGTATCAATTTCCAACGTTGATCGGCTGATCAGCGTTGGAAAAAACTGGCTTTTTTTTCAAATACTGGCCCCAGTTGACCATCGCACTTGTTTGCAATCGATTACACACCTATGAACGGGTACAAGCCAGCTAGACTGGTTCCCTGACCTTACAATTCCCCAATATATGTAAACTGCTCTGTTTCTTCTTAAATGGAGTCAGGGAACCAGACTACAGGAAAAGGATTGTTTTTCTTGGCTTTTATAGCATTTTCGATCCCAAAACCTCAAAAAAGTCAGTGTAACTATATTTGCTATATATTTCCAACCCCCCAATTCCATCCATTTCTGAAAACTACAGCAAAAGCAAATGATGTATATTCCCTTTAATTACCTGGGGTTTGTATCTAGAATTAAGAAAGGGTAATGAACCTCACAGCTTATAGCAGACTAGGTTTACAGTTGACCGAGTGTTCAAACAAACAACGCAACAATTGGCCTACCCTTGCCATGCCAGCTAGATGTCAAACTTTGACCTTTAAAAACTTTACAACCACGAGCACTGTACAAAACACGCACTCGTCATGGTTCTTGACTATACGATGACGTATGCATTATAGCACTATGAATTCGTGCGATGTGCTCAGTATGTCGTGCACAAGGTTTGCGTGCAAATCATGCGACTGTACCTGTGGATTTGGTGAGAAACTTGTCTGGAAAATAAACTTTTTTTCAGGAAAAAAACACACTTTTAGAAAAAAATATAAAATATAAACAAAATCGGGGCGGGAGTGAAAATCAACGCGGGCGGTGATAAAAACCTAAAAAATCAATGTTGAGTGGCCTAAAGGCTCCATTGTCTTGTATGAAAACATTTGTAGCCGTCTTATTTAGTCTTAAACCACCTGTGCATCTCCTGAAGGACCTTCAGCTTCCAAATCATTTTCTAGACATGCTAGAGGGCCTGCAAATCACTGTTTTGTAGGATAAACCACTTGTTGGATTTGCAATTAGCAGGGGCACCTGCAAGACGTTTGAATATCAGGTCATTTCGCGAAGGCTCTTTAATCAACTTCCACCTTACTCATTACACAACCATCTGTGTTATCATCTAATGGACCTTAAAGGGAATGTACATCATTGGCTTTTGCTGTAATTTTCAGTAATGAACTATTTGAGGGGTTAGTATAATAGATCAAATATTGTTACACTGACATTTTTGAAGTTTTGTGTTCGAAAAGGTTGGAAAAACCAAGAAAAACAAAAATGTTCAAGTAGTCTGGTTCCCTGACTCCACAAAAGATAAACTGGATCAATTTATAGATGATGGAAAATTGTAAGGCAAGGGAACCAGTCTAGCTGGCCTGCACCTGTTCATGAACATGTAACCAATAGCAAACAAAATTTGGACTGAAAATAAATGGTAAATTTGGAGCAGCAGTTGAAAAATAGTTAGGTTTTTCCAACGGTGGTCGGCCGACCACCGTTGGAAATGTATACAAAAATACCATTGTCTTGAAAATGACTTCACACCAGGTGCCATAATTTTACAAGATGCTCGAGACTGTCATTTACCAACATCCTAGTAAGGTATTTCATAAAAACTTGGTAGTTTTATTTTTCGATGTTTGCATATGTTGTATATTCCCTTTAACCTTCTAAATCATTTTCTTGCAGGGCTGTCAAACCACCGTCTTGTAGGATACCACTTGTTGGACCTGCAACAATCTGAACCTTTTCCTGGTAAAACCACAGTTCTAAATAATTTTCTTGAAGGCCTTCCCAAAATAAATGCCTTATGGGATGCGATCAGTAGCTCTCCTCATCTCAATACAGCTGCTCCTGGTAATCACAGACCTCGTCCCTCCGATAACTTGTTCTTGAAGGTCCTTCAATTAAATTGTTGTCTTGTAGGTTGACATCTGTATCTCCCGTCTCATTCTCTCTGCTTCCAGCTGCCTGTCCTCATCTTGGTACATCTGCTCCTGGAAGTCATAACATTCTGTTTCCAATTCATTTTTTTGGAGACTCCCCAAATCATGTCTGGTAGAATTTCATTGAAAGCTTCCATGTTATTAAATGCAACTCTCTGTACATCTGAAAGACCTCCAGCTTCTAGATCATTTTCTTGAAAGCCTTTCAAGTAATGGTCTTGACCAACACCACTTGTTCAATCGGCGACCATCTAAACATCATCATGCTTCTCAATCATTTTTCTGGAAGGTCCTTCGTTTAAATCGTGGTCTTGTAGGTTGCCATCTGTAGCTCCCGTCTCATCCTGTCTGCCTCCAGCTGCCTGAAGTACTCCGTGTCTTCGTCTCGGTACATCTGCTCCTGGAAGTCCCGGACCTCTCGTTCCATCTTCCGCCTCATGTCTCTCTTCATCCCCTCCATAACCTAAGGCAAAGCAAAGCCCAAAAAAAAGGGCATGAACAAAAGGCAGTGTTTCAACTTGGACAATATCTTTTGGTTTCAGGACGTTTTGCGTGGAACACAGCTTTTCCCATCCAGAATCTTAAACCACGGGGGAGCATGCTATGTTCCCCAGATGTTCCAAGGTAGAGCAAACTGCTCCATGGGTTTGCATTGCTAAACGTTCCACTGTGGAAGCACCTGTTTTTTTTTCGAAAGGTGTTCCAATATGGAATGGTATATATTTCCATTGAAAACAGGTGTTATTCTCATTGGATCGTTGCGAATGTTCCATTTTTTATTGCTCTCTTAGGAACACCAACACTGCCCTCACAGGTACCCATCTACTCCTGGGTGGACAGAAGCAATGAATGACAAAGCACCTTGCTCAAGGGCACGCACACTACATGTATAACCCCGGATTGGACTCGAACCCACAACCTGCAGAATTACCCCGTGGACCACAAATTCAGTGCTCCAGACCATTAGGCCACGGCACTCCAGCTGTTTTTGACTGTGCTCCTCTTATGAAGAGGAGCAAAGTCAACAACAGTTACGGAAAAGTTGCCGTTGGTTTTGCTTCTGATATATTTACAGCAAAACTTCATCTTTCCAACCACAGCAGTAACTGCGAGAGAAAATGGTTCACTAGCTTGACCCCTTTACGTTTGAGTCAGGGGAGTCAGGTTAGCTTTCCTCGCCTTCCATCTCTGTGACCTAGGTTCGATTCCTGCCCGGACCACATGTGGATTGGGTTTTCAATCCCTACCTGATTCCATGGGTTTTCCCGAAGAATATTCTTCTGGGGTTTTCCTCCCGCCTCTAAAACTGTCATTTCTTCTCATTGTCTTCTCTCTACAGCTTTCTTGTTTGAGGAATGGTTTCATTATCAGAAAAATTCAATCCTTATCATAATAATTAATAACAAAATTGGCTAGCTATCAGAGGACACACTTAGCAAGTGCTCACCTTTGTTTGTGCTTTGTCCCTCGTCTGCAGCTCATATCTCTCCTTGGCAATGGCCTCTGCAAGCATACTGAACTGATTGCGATAGCTGGAGCAACAGAGGTTAAGGAAATGTAGAACCAACAAATTCTGGTGCGTATCTAGCAAAGTTTGCCTACGTGTGATACATGTACTGATCTACTGGAGGCACGAGGGGTCGCACTAAAAAGCGTCAACACAGCGTCAACACATGACAGAAGCGTCAACACACCGTCAACACATCCAAAACACATTCTGAATTAACAAAAATGGTATATAATTGTAAAGCATAGAATAAAAGAGAATTTCCATTGGTTTGAGTTTCCATTTCGTTGTTAAAAATATAGTATTTTCACGCGAAAAAATGACCTTTCACTTGCACGGCCGTTGTCCGCCATCTTGACTTCGCACAAAGCTTGGACTACACCATTGTTAGCAGGGGTGTGTAGGTAATGACATTATCTTGTCATAAACAACAGAGGGATACCAGATCTGTGAGGACTGAGGATCGGAGTGGTGGATCATTATTTTGTGAGTTGTGTTTATGTTTCATTTACTTTATTGAAATGGACATCTTTTGGTATTGGTCGGCCGCGCCCTCTCTGTTGGTTTATTGTACAACGCTATCACCCTTTAGCATAATGGTATGGTCCGCACTGCCACTGAGGCAACATGGCGGCCAATTTCGGAGCGGTACGGAGAGCCAATTTTCTGGAACTGAAAATCGCAATTTTCAGACGTTTAACCTATTAATTTTAAGCCAAAATCTTGTTTCTGACCATACTATATGGGTTACAAACTGCTTTTGTCACTTTTAATACATTTTGGATGTGTTGACGCTGTGTTGACGCTTTGGAGTGTGTTGACGCTGTGTTGACGCTTTTTAGTATGATCGAGGGAGGGCGAGCGGAGGTTTTTTGGGTTTTTTTTTTTATCAGTTCAGACTCATGTTGGGCTGAACCAAAAGTTAACAAGTATCTAAATAATAATAATAATAATAATAATAATAATTTGGGAGGCTAATCATCCTTACTGGCAGCTGGTATGCTGAATTGCGAAGGACGCGGCTACAACGTGGTCGGGCCGCTGGCACGTGAAGGCGCCTATGGCTGCCGGCCACGTCGACCCATATATGACCACGGAGCACAGCCTGAGATCGAAAGTGTTTGATTTTTCCGGACGGAGGAAAACCGGAGGGCCTTTAGAAAAAACCTTGTGGCACAGGAGAGAACCAACGCACAACTCTACTCACATGCGATCCACGGCCAGGATTCGAACCGTGGTCACCTTGGTGAGAGGCGAGCGCTTTACGCACAAGCCACCCATGCCACCCAAATTTATAAATAGCTGACTAGTGACTAAATGGACTCACAAGAACTACAGGTCCGAAAGAAGTGAAGAAGTACATTACGTCCAGCATTTGAATTCAGGTTGGTATTTGACCAACACTACAAATAGTATAGCTGAACACTACATGCAATGTATAGGCTCTGTGCACAAGTACGCCCTCAATGGTAGGAAAGGGAGGGTTGGGGGAGACTGCTTGGAGTGACATTTGAACACATTGCTGAGGACACCTGACGCTTACGGGAGGACGCTATGGCTTTGTGTACATTCAGAATAAAGTTAGTTCTGCGTACTTTCCGTCTCTCGTGCGCGAACCAGTACGTTTGTTTATGGTGTAAATTGAGGATTTTCTATTGTTCCTCTTCCCTTTTCCTTTGTTTATACTTTTTTGCAACAGCTCTCATTGGTTTTGTACACATTTCTAACCGAAGCAGTCCTCGTTTTGGTTCCTGTCCTCAATTGACCTATCGCGGTAGAATCGCGTTAGAATCACGTCAACGCAGCTTGTGAAATATTGTCCAATTACATGATATACAAACGGACGCGAAACGCGCAACATCTGAGACAAACAAAACCTAGGGTACAAAAATTCCAAAGGGTTGTCTTAGGGGCGTGGCCAACTCGCAAAATTTTGGCAATAGTTCAAGTCATCGATGATCTTGCACGTGTGTGTCCTCGATTTACACCATAAACAAACGCCAGCAGGCACACACTGTACGTCCCGTCTAAGAGGCTCTCAAAACTGGTAAAAAAATGCGTCCTCTATTAATGTAACGGTGTGTGCAATATTTGAAAGATAGCATGCATAGTATTCTAATGATATCGTGTGTATATTGCAATGCTACTGAATGTTATATCATAAGGATACTAGTTCTCTAGTGAGTCTATCTCATCTTGCTGTCGCTGCGCTGACTCCTCACGTTTCTCCCGTGCATACTTCCTCAGGTCACTGATGCGAGCCTTCTGGATGTTCAGCCCATCTTCGAAGAGCTTCTTGAAAATCTGCTCACAAAAGGAGACAAGATACAGTCAGCTGTTTAAATTTTAAACTTGAAAATAGAATGTTTTTGGTAACATTTGAACGTTCAATGGTAAATTGCTTGGACTAATTGCACAGTTCAAACACAACATCATTTAGAAATGGCCTTATACAGGCAAAATCTGGTTCTAGAAAAGTTTGATGCCATTGTCCCTTAGCAAGACACTTTACTGTATTTACATCTCTTCTTCTCAAAGAAAATTACATATTTCATATACAACACCACTTGGCTACTGCAGTCTTATTCGGGTGACATTTGGCTCTAGAACAGTTTGATGTCATTGTCCCTTAGCAGGACACTTTACTGCAATCACATCTCATCTTCTCAGAGAAAATTACAGAGTTCATATACAACACCACTCGGCAACTGCGATCTTATTGGGGGAATATTTGGTTCTAGAACAATTTGATGTCATTGTCCCTTAGCAGGACAATTTACTGCAATTGCTTTTCATCTGCTCAGAGACAACATCATTTTACCAGTTGTTCAAGATGGAGCGTTTATCAGGGCCATTCTATAAATGTTTGATAATATTTTTCCTGTCCTACATCTGACACCTACAATGTATTCATTCTGAAGCAATCCTTAATGCAGTCACCCTTCAAGAGTGATTATGCATAGCAAAAAACCTACCGAACAAATAAAATAAAATTGTTTTGTCGGTCGCACCACGAACCGGCGTATCTAAATTTTTCTGGCCAAATTTAGTTTTTGTCATAAACGCTTTTATTTCATCAAAATGCTCATCCTCACAAGGGTTTATTCCTATAGTGCTATGACGTCACCAAGGAGCATCGACATGAAAAGTGTGAATTTAGCGTTTCACGAACTGACGTACCGGTATGCCCGTATCTGGCACATGGCCACTATTACGCCTGTTGTATGAAATACGATAAACATGACAAAAATCTGTTTCACAAAGTGACGTGTATCTTGCAACTCAGAGGCACATGGATCGCATACAATAAAGTTTAATCTTTAACTTACTGGCAAAAACGAAACAGCTTGAATTCTTACACAGGTAGTTTAGAGGAATGAGCCTACAAAAATATGACCAACTTTAAATCAGTTTTTCTCATAACACAAAAAAATGGGATACGTTGGTTCGTGGTGCAACCGACGATTTGAAGTAGTTCTTAATCTTAATGATACTAGAATGGCAAAATTACAAAGTACCAAGGTAATAGGGACAGGACAAATGGCACACTTAGGTCCCTAAATGTATAGAATGGCCCATAAATAATTAATAGGAAGTGGACACTGACCTGTTCTTCCCTGGTGCGTCTCTTGACCATGCGTGACTTGGCCCGCAGCTGGAACTCATCATAGTACCGTCTGGCACGGGCATTCACCTGCCGCTGCTCCTGAACACGACCCTGCATGGCTCGCTCATTAGTCCTCCTTTCTTTGATCTCTCGCTACAGAAAAAAAGGGTGATAATTACATAATGTTGGATGGCTTTGAGGGGGATACAGGAAAATATTGCACGAGCTGCAACAATATTGAGGAGTGCAATATTCATTATTAGGTTTTGCCCTTTACAAGTATAAACACTGTATACTCAGTGTGTTACCTCCAGACTCGAACCCATGACCTCCTGCTTTCTAGTGCAAACGTCTCACCGTTTGACCACCGAGCCTGCAGGATCAGCCGCCTGGCAATATTGTTATAGCGAGTGCTATATATTCTTGTGTCCCCCGAAAAAAGAACGTTATCCAATATTATAATTTATATCAGGCTGCAATTGATCCGCAAGAAATAGATTTCTAAACATTTCGTGAAACTATTCTTTGCTTAGCGAAGCAAATTTCACGCCGCTCCAGTTACCATTTGTGGTTGTTGACCCTGCGTGCTCTTGGGACGGTACCGCGCACTACGCTCTTTTCACTGGCTGACAGCTGTGACTTTCTAAGCTCTCGACTGAGCGGGAACCAGTGATATATTAAAATGCCCGGATGAAGATAATATAAAAAATAATACTGTCCTCATCAGTGTACTCTTACTGAAATCATATTGCAATCATCCGGGTACTTTTTACGAAAGCAAACAATAAGCTGATTTATTTTATCACCGGAAGACTGATTTAAATAACAATTTAAAAAATATTACATGAAGGATACAGTTTGTGAAGTGGTACTCTCCTCCACATATGTTTGTGCCTTCCACAAATAGTTTACCTACTGTGCCCAGGTATCCCACTCGACGTCATCAGCCTTTGTTCCTTTATCAGGCTTCAACGCGGCATGACAGATTCAGTCTTTCTTACTCTAATTTTTGTTTCAATAGTTCTATTGATGCTCCCTATTCAAATGACGTAGTCGTCTTTTCTCAAGCAGTGATTTTCATTGATAACGGTATTTTTTTTTTTTCTCTTAAAAATCTGAGATTTTAGGAATAAGTGAGACCTATGGAAGTGAAGCCAGCAATGTCAATGTTCCCTTCCAGGTGACAAATAGGGAGCTATGGTTTTTGTTTCTTTTCACAATTATTGATTTGCTCCTTATGCAATAAATGCACGGTCAATTGTCATGGCAAAAAAAGGCAACGAATATTCCTTTAAAAAAAAAGTAGCCCGGTTGATTATATGGTGAGTTTTATTTGAAACTTAGTTTGAGTATATATTTGCGGGGTATAACTTTCAGAAAACTCATATGAGCATTTTATGCCACCGTAGCGCCAGAGTTTGTTGGTAAAATGTCGCAACATGCAAAGACTAGTGGATGTCTCACACTGCGCATGTGCAGCACGTAAGTCCATAAGTGAATTAAGTGACTACACAGGCAATACACTATGAACATACGTGCCTCGCCTTCCATCACTGTGACCAGGGTCTGAATCCTGCCGGAGCCAACGTGAATTTTCCGCAGAAATGTTATCAGGGGTTTTTCTCCCGCCTCTAAAACTGTCAATTCCTTGCTCCCCTCCTACCAGGGGGCCTAATACCAGAGATAACTTGATAGATTCAAGGTGAGACCCTTTGTCTTGCAATTTAAGTCTTGCTTATTAAAGAGGGTTGCACATGAGACTAACCATCCTCTGGTTGTGGCCTAGCTCTTTCTTCATGATTTTGAGAAGGGTCTCCTGCCGTCTCTCTGCATCCTCCATCTGAAAGGGACAAAAAGGAATCAAACCTGGAATATTATTCTGAATTACACTTATGCATGTGAGACAAATACTTTTGCTTAATAGGCGCACAGTGGGCAATGGCGCTATAAGCCCGCTGCACAAGAGAGCTACGTGTGTAGCAAAGAGTCAGTCAAGGCCGTTTGCTCAGCAGGTAGCTCACAAAATATGACCATGTGCGGTGAATTTTTGCTGAATTTTCTACCTCGCGAGACCGTGAGGCGAAAAACTCAACGTGTGCGGTCAACCTTAGCTAAGTGCTGAGCTAAAAAGATTAACTAGCCAATGAAAGCACATTATTCATTAGTCGGTCACGTGATTTAAAAAACGGGGACAAACACCAGCAGGCTTTGGTAGATTCGCACAAAAATATCTTAAAATCACGTGTACAGAGTACATGATTTCATTGGCTAGTTAATCTTTTTAGCTCAGCACGTAGCTCAGGTTGACCGCACATGGTGAGTTTTTCGCCTAGCAAGGCGAAACAAAAATCAAATAGGATAGCCTCATGGCCTCACAAGGCAGCATTCTCAGCAAAAATTCACCGCACACGGGAATATCTTATAAGCTAAATGCTGAGCAAACGGCCTCAAATGACTTTTCGCTCAGCACACAGCTGTGCAGTGGCTTATAGTTTGCACCTTTCAAATTTTTTTTTCATGATTAATGAGGGAGGATACGTGCATGGAAGCCCATTTACCTTGAGCTGGGTCTTGGTCTTCTTGTATTTCTGATCCAGGCCCATCTTGGTCAGCTGCTCCATCTGTCGCATCTGCTTGGCCCACATGTCGTGGGCCGTCTGGGGCGAGACGTGCAGAAAGGGAAACTCCTGCATGACGGTGGGCAGCATCTCATCGTCACCGATACTCACTGAAGAAAAGACAGAGGAACAAAAAGAAGGGTCAGTGGTGAAGACAAAGAGCTCTGACTGGACGAGGGGTGAATGGTCACTGGATACTCACGAGGAAAGAAAGAAGGAAAAGGGATATTCACAAGGAAGTAAAATAGAGAACTGCCAGGAAATAGGGGTGTGCATTTACGGATAGTACAGAAATCGGGTACCTGATTGAAAAAAAACCCACAGGTACTCGTTAAAGAAACCCAACCCCAAAATATAAATCTCGGAACTTGCTGTTCAAAAGTGTGGACAGTGATGAGCTCTTTAACTTTATGGTGTAAATTGCATTTTCGCAAGCACAAGAATAGTGAATCTGTTCTGTTTTTCCATGTACCCTGGTTTTCATTTTAATAATAATTCATAATAACACGTTGTTCTATAGCCCATTTCAGGACCGTAGGAGCTCTCAATGTACTTGACAATTCATAAACAAGTACATGTAGTCTGAGCAGTCTATTGGAAACTATTTTCAAAGAGGTGTGTTTTAAGGCATTTCTTAAACAATTCCAGATCAGCCATTGAGCGCGGTAACAGTGGGAGAGTGTTCCAAAGTCTAAGGCCTCCACATGCGAATGCTCTTTCACCATAGCTCTTCATTTGTCCAGGAAAGACAATCTTAGGGGCCTTGATGGGATGTAAAGTCGTGTCCGCACTGGACTTTTTTTTTGGAAGGTTTTACCGAGACGATGGTAAAATGAGAAACGGTCAAATGTGACCACTGTCCGCACTTGGACTTTCGACACGGGAAAATTTACCCAGACCGCTTTGGAGAAGTAACCGAGCTGTCACAGTGTCAGTATAATGACTCACCATGCACAGAAAACAAATTACCGATCACATTTTCAGCCGCCGATACGCACAGTAATATTACACACGCCATGTGCATGCACAACATAATTGTTTACACGATATTATTTCATCTTGACTCGCTAAATCTTGACGAAAAGGCCTAAAATTCTGACGGCATTTGTGATGCACGTCGTCGAAGCCATGCCGCTGTACGATGTTCCGTGCGGCAGCAGTGCCATCAGTATTGGTTGGTTCCCATCGCATGCTTACAGAATCGAAGCTATGATGTGGGCCAGGAACCAGTGACTACGGCCCACGTACGGTACCGGACCATGATGTTCCGTGCATGACTACAGTAGCGTATCAGGACGAATTTGGATCGTAGAAAATAACATACATCGGTGGAGAAAGAGAATTTCCGCAAATTAATTCTCAGAACGTGATCTCTCTTCTCTGTGTATGTATTTGTCCATTGAAATATATATTTTAACGAGATTTTACCGCTCGGACTTGATGATACACCGCAGCGTGTTCCTACAAAATGTTCGGCCACTGCACGTGCAGGTTCGTGCGGTCTCTGTATGCATAACAGGGCGCTCGAGCCGGATGTACGCTTTCCTGAGCTGCTTTTACCGACTCGCACTGTCCGCACTGGACTTATTGTCTCGGGAAAAGTGACCTGGTCAGTTTTCCTGGGCGCGTGGGAAGTTTTCCTGGGCAGCAGTTGGCCAGTAAAAGTAACCGCTGGACTCAGGAAAAGTAACCGAGAGGAAAACGTCCTAGGCTGTCCGCACTGGACTTAAAATGGGAAAAGTACCCATAGTCTCGGTTAGTTTGACCAAAAAAAGTCCAGTGCGGACAGGGCTTAAGGCACAAGTAGTTCTGAGATGTAGGCTGGACACAGATCACGGATAGCTTTGAAGATGGTGAGAATGACCATATATTGGATGCAAGACTGTACTGGCAACCAGTGCAGATTGTTAAGGACAGGTGTTATATATTCACTCTTCCTAGCTCTTGATACCAAGCGAGCGGCAGAGTTCTGGATCCTCTGCAGTTTGGAGATTCTTTCTCTGGAGTTCCCAGTTAAATAAACAGATAAGAAAGGAAGCTCTCTATAAATGACAAAGGACCAACAACAATCATCAGGACAGGCAAAGATTGCTCACTTTGCGTATGACAAAGATACTAGGAAAAAGAAAAAGGATAAGTCCCTCTGAAAGACAAAAAAAGAAGGATTATCCCTGTGATACGAATACACAAATGTACATCTTTGTAGTCCTATCATCCAAACTCTGGGAACCAGAACGTTGAAATAAGAGGGATACTCACATCGTTTGTGTCTGTGCATGGTGGGACTAGCCGAGGCACTGCGCTTGCGTTTAGACCTGATGGGGCCCCTTGAGGTGATGCGTGACGGTCTCTCTACTGTCACTTTGTCTGAAAGAATAACATGCATTTCTATAAAATCACAACACGATAATATCATTCACAACACTAATGATTGTTATAAATTACCTTTAGAGAGGTTGTGGAATGCTGAAAGTCATTTTGTTTTTATATTTTTTTATTGTAGAGTAGAACCATATATATCATAATGACAAAGTCCCATTCTTTTGTAATGTGCGTTTATATGTTTATAAAACTGAAATTCATCGAGTAATTTGTTGGTCGGCGAGCGCATAATTGAAATCAACAGTCGTCGGGTTCTTTGTAAAATGAGAAAAATCGTGACGTAATAAACAGGACTCGTTTATACTACGCTGCATCGGGAGTCCTGTTTATTACGTCACGATTTACTATGTTTTGTTTGCTGCCCCCAACGACGACTTTTACACAAATTGCACGTTCAGGTCGAAACAGGACCTGAAAAACAGCTCTCAAAAGTACCTTTTGTACTCATTTCATGACAGACACAATAGTCGTTTTTATTTTATCACACCTTAGGCTACATATACCCGAAAAATGACGGAAATGTCTTCGAGCATTCCACAACCTCTTTAAAGCCTTTCCAATAATAGTCTCTTACGATTTTTGCTAGAAACCTTCGGGTATCATCCAATATCTTTCAATGTTCTGGTCCCCAGTTGCACATTTTTTTTTTGCACTCGAAACTTCCAAGAAGCATCTATCCCCATGCAATGTATCTACCCCATTCAGAAACCTACTGGGGGTTCGAAGGATCTGGGGGTTAGGAATAAAGGATCATCCAGAAGGAACACTTGTAGATTCTACTGGGGGAAGCCTAAGGACAATTCAGAACAAATGCCAATGCTTGGGAACAGCCAATTTCAGCCGGGAACACACTTGGAATACTGGCTGCTAGTTCCCGTTCAGAATGCCTGAGGTAATGAACTTGGAATATCAACCTGTAGTGGAATCCACCAAACAAATTTTGTTTTTGTGGTGGTGCTACACTTGCACGCATGCCGCACGCATTCTTAAAGACGAAGCCCGCGCCTATTTTGGTAACACTATTGGTCTGTTGGTAGAAGGAGCCCGGAGTGCATGCGAATTACACGAGTGCGACTCACGCGAGCCTGGGTTCATCAAAGTGCCACCACAGTGCCACCTCAGAAAATGGCTGTCACCGAATTTGTCTACACTTTCTTCTAATCGGGTAAAGAAATTTGCATGGTGACACCTTTGAAAAATATAGGTACTTCAGATTCTGTATGTCGGCGTTCATATCCCTAGCTAAAGAAATAAACACTATAGTAATACATACTGCTGTATTTCTGTGCTGGCTGGTACCTGCTGGTCTTGGGACCACTGAAAACCTTTCTGAATTCTGCGTCCTGAAAAAGGATCATTTTTATATAATATAATTAGTCCGAGTTGTAAACAGACAATGAGGCACAGATATAGAAATCAAATACAAAACAATCGCTAGTCTATGTGTACTTCTCAGTTGAAAGTAACAAACACGGATTCGCATACGAAAACTGGTATACAAAAAAAATAACCAGACTTCTGGCCAAGAACCACTGAATATTGGGCAATTTTTAGGCATTATACATGGAAACGTATGCTCAGCAAACTAATGCGTGTGTTGCTAGTTTACCTGTTTATCTAAGACTCTCTTATTTCGGTCCAGTTGCTTCTTGAGACCGCTCTTAGCTTCGTCTAGGTTGCTCTTATACACATAGCGCAGAACCTACGAAAAACCAAAATTACTCATTGTTACTGAACCTTACATCTTTGAACTGCACTTCAGAAGCAGCATTTAAAATCAGCACGTGGGAGTTGCATTATGTCCTTGGGCAAGACACTTCTCTCCAGCTAGGAGTAAACAGGAATCTGGAGGGGGTAGAGATGGTCATTGACTAAATACAGTGGAACGTCGCTATACCGAACACCGCTATACCGAACATTCGGCTATATCGAACATCGTCATTGGCTCCCGATTATTGTGTACAAAACCAACCGAACATTGTTGTTGAAAACCGTCAACCGAAGAGCGACAAGTGGCTATTATTTCCCCAAGGCATAAAGTAGGTAGTAAGCTCAAAACTGTGTAATTACATAATTCAATAGTCGGCATGTGTTCGAAGTCGTCTTTCAGTAACTACCAGGGCGTGCAGGGTGAAGCTCTGGAGGGCGCCATTTATTGAAAAGTGGGTACCGGAGCACCGGCAGCTTAAAATCCCTATACCGAACGATCACTATTACAAATATTTTCTGTGGATCCCGCGAGGTTCATTATAGAGGCGTTCCACTGTATTGACTTATTATTGACTTATTGACTAAATTAGCCACCTACTAAGCTGTGGACTACTGTACATAATTTTATATCATTAAGGGTTAAAATAATTATTAAGTGGTATAGAAACACCTCCAGTAAAGTGCTCTGTAAATCAATGTTGCTTGTGTTGAACAATTTTATTTGGACTGTATTTGAGTGAAGGGGATCACTATTGCATTGTTAGTGGCTTTTCAAACTTAAACTTTGTTCAACGCTTCAGCCAGTACATCAGCTTCATGCTCCGAAACTATTCAGTTACATTTTAGCTCACTTTCCTACTACAGAGACACTCAAATCGTCTAGTGGTGAGGCCAAATATTTAGGGTACTTTCACTACAACTGTTTCAAATATTTTGGAATCCAAGTTGAAGTCGAAATCCAATCTTGAGAAGAAGCCACGATTTAGAAAATGACTAGGATATATGTGATGTGATCAAGCTAAGGCCAAAAAAAAAAAGTCTCCTGTTTCTGGTATCTGCGCGCGTCGCCGTAGCCATGCGCGTCGGCAAAATGAAAAAGTTTTTTTTCAATGAAAGATGATGTCTCAAAACCGCCAAACTCACTGGTTTGACTGGAATTCTGCTGCTGCACAATTTTAACGTGTTTTTAGATGGGGTTATGATCGAGAATAAGCTTTATGTGGTCTCTCTGGACTCCCATATATTTGCACTAAGTTTAGTCGGGCACCATTTGCAGTCATCAGCCGACATTTGAAGCAAAAAAGTCGGGTAAAAAAAAAAAAAAGCCGCGTCGCCGCACCACTTTTTGGACAAGCTCCATACCAGAAACCGGAGACTTTTTTTTTTTGGCCTAAGTGAGTCTTTTGTCGACCCTGGTCAATTCTTTTTTGACAGATTTGAAAAAGCACAATATCAGCATTACTGCTGTGAAAACTGCATGCTGGTACCATCTTTAGTTTAAATATTATGGAAGTCGGAACACCAAGAGATGTGATTATTAAAGTGATGTGATGAAGTGGCCCTATTTTTGGCCTGCATCTCCAAATGAAAGTTCCCCACAAACGACTTGTTTAGCTTGATCGCATCACATATACGGTTGCAATCTTGGTTAAAATGCACAAGATGCTGACCTCCTTCTGTCTGGCATGCTTCCTGTTCTCCTTATTCAGCCGCTTCCTGATGCTGCTCATCGGTCCCGTCGCGTCTGCCTCCAACGCCTCCTCAAACCGCACCCTCTGGCTCCGGCTGCTGGGCACGGGCAGGAGCAAGCTCTTGGGTCTGGGCTGAGCGCGCTTCTTCTTGGCCGCACCAGCTGGCTTGCTGCGCGGCCGCAGGTGGTAAGGTTGGTCCCCCGGCTCTCTGACGGGGTACCGATGGGGATCGTCTATGACGTGAGATGCAGGGTAGCTGGTAGCCCGTTGGTAATCCACTGCTGTGTCGCTGCATTGGGATAGCAGGTCCGAGTCTGCTTCGCTGTCACTACTTTCATGCCTGCAAGAAATCAATCTTGAAAGTATAAAAACCAATGCTGCAAATGTTCTCTGACTTTCATATTTCAGACTGAAGGCGCATTTTCAGTCAAAACACTATATTCACACTTACAGTATTCCTCCTCTTTCTAAGTTTTCAGACAATCCATAAAATATGGAAAAGACGGTCAGAAGATGTAAAGGTAATTTCCCTTTGTTGTGCTGAACAAAACCTTGGATAAAAGAGTCCCCATGAACCTGAAACAGTTCCCGTTGGAAGCCTTGTGTAGTCAGGCATGCAACTGGGAATTTAGAAAAAAAACGAGGAAATTCCAAACCATACACAAGTTTGTTCAGTGTTTTTAATTTGTAAAGGTATTCATGAGAAGTAAAAAGCGAGTAAAATCATCAGATCCGAGAAAAAGTTTCATGCCTGATAGTCAATCTTTCCATCAGTTGTTTACTGGGATTCAGGAAACACAAAATAAATGACAATCTTACGTGAACCGTGATGCGACTGGTCCTAGCTTCTCATGATAGAAGGACCGCTGAGATCGGTCCCTCTCCTCATAATCCTCCACAAAAGCCACTCGTCTTGGCCGAGGTGGCAAGTCCTCTTCCTGCCAAACCATTTTGCAAAAGGGTTGTAGAGAAGTGTTTTGTGAAGACAGAAAAGACAACAGGATTTTTTAAAATTTATATATCCATTTATCATTATATTTTTGTTTGACTTGCCGATAAAATGTTTAGGGTCGCGGCCTAAAAATAGGGTAATTGGAAGCAGAACTATTCTTCTTTTTTTTTGCCTAACGCTGAATGTCCCACTGCTTTTTATGGGAGTATGGTGTACTGGCATAAAAAAGTTCTAATCCAGATGCCATTGGGAAACTCACAGTTTTTTTCTCAATAATATCCTGCTATCAAGACATTTCATATGGCAGGTTGCATTAACACCTAAGCAGGTCAGTAACTTGCAATGAAACGGTGGGAGTAAAATTGTTCACAGTCCTTCCATGGTAATTAACCATAGATAAACACAGGCCCGATGAGGCATTTCGGCCCGGTCAGACTTGTGATCACTGTACACACACAGGGCCCCATTGAAAGGAGAACCATTGTGCACGCTACTGTGCAAAGCAGCTGCCCCGATGTGGATTATCTGAACAATAGCTAGCACAATGCTTTCTGCCATTGAAGGGGGCCTTCATGATAGTATTGATAGCATTTACGCAAGGTCTATCCTTTACGGACAATAACAAGTTGAACCATACGTTTCAATACCTCTCTTCTGTCTCTCAGACGGCTGCTCAACCAATCTTCAACATCTTCCATGTTGACGTTCCTCTGTCGTCTCCCCGTTGACTGGTACCCGTCGGTTGAGGTCCCGCCCTCGATTGAAACCCCGCCCCTTGTAACAGCACTGCTAGCAGGTCTGTGCCCGGATGGGGCCGGGTATGTGGACCGTAGTGTGTCTGGGTAGGTACGTCCGAGTCTGTGACGGGCTGTGTCGGGGATGTCCATGTCATCGTGGTATGTGAAACGGTCGTGCCATGACGGCGCATCTGAGTTCAAGAATAATCAAATGAAAAATAATTGACTTGTAACAGATTTTTAGTATCTATTTCTAAGATTAACTTTGGATGCAACTTAGACTTCCTAGTAATAAAAAGTTTTAATTTTATGAACACTGTAGTGTTAAGGAAATAAATGTGTGTTCGGGAGGTATTATAACACTCTGTCTAAGACCGGTGGGTGTCTGGATGGGTAATTATCACCCATCCAGACTCCCACCGGTCTTAAACTGAGTGTTGAATACCGACCAAACACATATTTATTCCCATTCATAAATACCTTTTCGGTCAAAAAACGTTTTGGTCCAAAAATTTAAAAAGGCAAAAACTAGACATTGCCAACCATTTTGTTCAACAACTTTACTTCATGTTTTACGAAACACCCCTCTGACTATAATATGGAATGCTCCTCTACAACTCGTTACCTTATAAGGACATTGGCGTGCGTGTCGGGCGTATTGCACGATGTCATGCAAAACGCAGCTGGGCTGGTGTAGTGTGAATTTCGGACTATGAAATACTGATTCACTGGTAGTATTGCGCATGCATACGTGAGGAATGTGAACGTTCAACCAATGAAACGTTAAAAGGAACCGGATTTCATCGGAGTCCAAATTTCATGCGACACTGGAAAAGTGTTTAAGACCAGTTAGCCATGTCTTTATCATCCATTTAAGACGTGACAGGCTCTCAACCAATAGGAATGCGTAAACTGTCTTAGGTATTTATGAATATCGGTTTAAACATTTAAAACACAGACTTTCCATACAAGTGAGACCCCCCAAAAAAGAACATTCATATGTTACACAGACTTTCAACTGTGGTTAACCGAAGAAGTTGATGACAGCAGGATCTGAACTAGTGGTGGGAGAAATCAGAGATTTCAAAATCCGGTTATTCTAATTTCTTTTCAAACCAAATAACGGTTATCTGATTTCACTGGATGTTCCCATCCAGCTCACAAAAAGCGACGATTGAGGTGCTGCATGAAATGTCCTCCCACTGACTGGGTATAATTTGCAGGATTCAATGACCACTGAGCCTTTACAAAAACACTCCAAAACTGTAATGTTGAGAGGGAAAAAAATGGATGGGAATTCTCTGATTAGTTGAATGGGCAGGCTATTCATATACAAAGAAGACCACTAGCAAATGAATAAAGTTACAATCAGGGGTGTTACAGTTGTTTTCTGTAGCCTGTGTCAAACAAAAATGTAAGGCTTAGTTTGTGTAAAAGTTGGTTTCGAATATCCGGTTTCCCAAAATCGAAACCAAATAGTGGAGTTCAAACTGAATATCCGTATTTAACATGTTTAAATCCCACCACTAATCTGAACCCGAGACCACCAGAACACTGGAACAGCACTCTACCAACTGAACTATCCACCCAATGATTTAATGTCTTTGTTCAAGGGCGCTTCAGTCAGAAGCTGTTAGTCATATGTGTGACATGTAGCCAGGGATCACCGTCCAAAGTCGTGCGTTAGCAACATGGTGCAAATCTTTAAAATGATGGGTAAAACTAATTTGCCAAATCGAGGAAACATTGCATGGCGGTAAACTTGCTCAAACTAATTCACCTTTTGGTTCTACTCTCTTGCTGAGTTCTTGAGTTGGTGAGTGTTTGGCAGGGGACGTCTGCTCTGAATCAGGGGGTCTGGAGAGTGTGGCATGCGGGGGTGATTTGGGGCGTGCTGGGCTGGTGGGAAGGCTCTTGCTGACTGAAATAGAATCAAAGGAGCATAATACTGGCCTTAATATTCAGGTAAACTTAGCAAACAGTTTGGGAAGAAAGTGGTACATTTACCTAAAAAGCCTGTCCAAAGTAATGGGGTCGGGTTGACCAGGCCAAACCGACCCGAAACATAGATATAAACCTAATCCGAAATGAAATTTTGGAACTGAACTCCCAAATCCGACCCAACTCGACCCGACAAAAATTCAAACAAAAACCGACTCGAAACCGCACCGACCCGAAAGAAAACAAATATCTGGCTTCAGCAACTGTGCCTAGTTTTTCTGCCTGAACTGACCCGCATTGCGCGAAAATCGTCTTCTCTCAGTAGCTAATCATACCGTATGGTATGGTGAAGACTCCTAACATTACCCACTGGTGGGCCTACACATTATAGACTGCAAACGGCATGCACATTCGGGCAGTGGTTGATGTTGGTCGTACCATTCCGTTCTGTGGTCATACAGGGCACAGTAAAACTCTGCAACAATATTACCCCGCTTGAATTTCCAAACTGTTTTTTTGTTTTTGGCATATTTCAGGTTTTTTACAAGATGGCTTAGCCAACCTGCCCGACTAAAATGATGGAAAAAACGACCCAACCTGACCCGAAGTCGGTTTCGGGTCCGGTTCAGTTTAAGCTTCCGGTAGGGTTTGCACAACATTAGTCCAAAGTTACATTGTGCAAAACATTGGTGAGATGTAGGGACAATAAGTTGATAACATTCATGGGACACGCTCCACAGACCTGGTTGATGATAGTGATGGTGCGTGTGCACGTGATGCTGCTGCCGACCGCCACCCTCCCTTGGACTCCCTGCCAGGCTGTCGATACTAGAAGCCGGTCTGTTTGTGATGAAACCAGCAGGCCTGGGTCTCATCCCAAGGTTATCAAACTCACTAGGGGGACGGTTGGTTAGGGGCTTGGGCCACGACACGGAAGAGAAGGAACTGCTGGTCAGGTCCTGTGGAATGAATGGGAAGAAGAGGTGACAAAGTAAATTAAGTTTAGATGACTGATTTGGCCAGATTTCTCAAATCTTGTTCACGACTTGTATAGCAAATTATTTTCGTTTTTGGCAATTTGATGCAATATAGGGGTTTTGGGGGCTTCGCTTTAAACTTTGAAGAAAGAAATGTCCATTTGGAACATTTTACAATAAGCAAATATTGCAAGGATATATCAATGTAAACACACATATTATTGGGAAATCGGAAATAATTCTTTGCATAGATCAGTGTTGATAACAATTTTGATTTGATTTTGTTATTTAAAATGTTTCTTATCCCCAACTCTCACTGATATTTTTCTAAATCTGTCACTGTGAGTATGGTTTTTTTTGTTTTGAAAATTTAGCAGGATTAAAAATAGGTTGAGTTTAGGCACTTTTACTTTATTCAGGCATGCAACTGGGAATTTAGAAAAAAAACGATGAAATTCCAAACCACACAAGACTTTGTACATTATTTTTCAATTTGTAATGGCACTCATGAGAAGTAAAAAAACCGGGGAAATCAGCAGATTCAAGGAAAAGGTGCATGCCTGTTTATTTGGGCTTATGGCTCCCCCTGAATTGAGGAGAATTTGGAAGGATCCTTACGGGGATGTCTGTCGTCTTCATTAAACAAGATGGATCAGAAGTAGTACTTCAGTTTTACATGTATCAGCATGATATGAGGCTTTCTAAACCTCTCTATGATTCATGAACAAATTTGGTAATCCTTGTGAGTTTTCTGTCATGAATACGAGTCTAAACTTCAGGTCATCAAAATGTAAGCACCCAACTGGGAATGAACAACATTTGCTTTTGCTGCAGTTTTCAGAAATTAATGGATTTGGAGATTAGTATGTTATAGCAAATATTGTAACACTGACTTGTTTCACGTTTTGGGTTTGTATATGCTGGAAAAAACAAGAAAACCAATCATATTCTTGTAGTCTGGTTCCCTGACCCCAATCAAGATGAAACGGAGCAATTTATAGACTTTGGGGAATTGTAAGTTCAGAGAATCAGTCTAGCAGGTGTGTAATCAATTGCAAAGAAAATGCAGACGAACTACATATGAAAATTAGGAGCACGTTTTGAAAAAAAGCCAGTTTTTTCCAACGCTGGTCGGCCGACCAGCGTTGGAAAAATAGTTTTTCTTGAAAATGTCAGCACACTAGGAGCCACAACTTTACATGATGCTATAGACTGTCATTCCCTAACAATCCAGTAAGGTATTTCGTGATTATTTGATCATTTCGTTTCTTGATGTTTGCAAATGTTGTATCTTCCCTTTAAATGTGCAACTTAGACGAGTCTTAATATTTAAGCAGTATTCATGAAACATTTTCACCAAGTGCCCCTCTTATTTTCGTGACTTAAATCTAAGTGCGGTTGGACGTGTCTTAAGTCAAGTTAAGTGGGGCACTAGGGTGTCATGGCGGCTTCATTTCTGTCCGTTGGTTTGTAATTTTTAGGCACAAAATTGGACTTTCTGTGGGCTAAGGGAAATCTCATCAATATCAAGTTATTGTCAAAGGAAGCCAAGTTGAAGCTGTGTGACAGCCCTAGGATTGTAGTTTGTCGACACTCGAACAGATATTTTGGATCGATTTGTTGATTATTAGACGGGTGGTGAAGGTGCAGTTGATGACATGTAACCAATGGCATGCACTGTGACCACAGTGACTGCCGACTATAAAATTCAAATTAACTATCCTACCTTCCAGCATGTATGAGAATGCGAGTACATCACATCCCAATTTGTTTCACACTCGATAGTAAATAAAACTAGATGTGGTTGTAACTGAACAACCACAGAGCTGTTCCCAACTTGTTTTTGATTGTCTATTGGATAGTAGAAAATAATGTAATGATTTTTGCAAAAATCTCTAACTTTTAAAATTGAAATTATTATCTTACATAATTGCACTTCCGGTAAAAACCGGAAGTAAAGGTCACGAGACCTTGACATATACATTTTCATTTATAACCCTTCCCGGTCTATATATTTACCAAGTTTCAGATCAATCGGTCGAATAGTTGTATAGTTAAAGGACTATAAAGATTGCCTCATTAAATATTCATGACGTCATAATATGAAAACATTAAACTGCCCATTAATAATAATGCTACATATTTATCCTTTGATGTTGCTTAATACTAATATAAGGTGTCAACCCAATTAAATTTCTAATTCATTAGATATGATAATTAGGGTCTTAAATTAACACTTCCGGTAACACCGGAAGTAGAGGTCACATGACCGGGATATACCAATATTCATGTGTAACACTTCCCAGTCTGTATACCTGCCAGGTTTGAGATCAATCGGTCAAATGGTTCTATAGTTATAGGACTGTAAAGATTGCCTCATTAAATATTCATGACGTCATAACATAACAATAATTAAGTGCACAGTATAAAAAATAATGCAATATAATTATCTGTCAATATAGCTTCGTATCAATGTGAAGTTTCAACCCAATCAGATTAATAATTCATGAGATATGATATAGGGGTCTAAAATAACCACTTCCGGTAAAACCGGAAGTGAAGGTCATGTGACCTTGACATATCAATTTTCATTTATAACACTTCCCTGTCTGTATACCTACCAAATTTGAGATCAATTGGTCAAATAGTTCTATAGTTATAAGGCTGTAAAAATTGAATCTATAAATAGATGTCACGTGACCCCTGATAACGTCACGATGACGAAAAGTTTCGGCATACATCTTTAAAATAGTTCCCAAAGTGGCTTGTAGAATAAAAACGTGTGATATATATTTGAAAATGCATGTGTCCAACTTCCCCTAAAGCAGATCAAAAATGACTGAGAAAAGTCTTCTTATAGGCGAATGGGGGCGCCATTCACTTTTTACGGTGTGCCGTTATATTTTTTTGGTGACGCGCAGCTGTCCTTATTTTGATCCCATAAAACTTAAGGCTCTGTGCCTTAAGTACAACCATTAAAGTTATGTACTGCCCTCTTTTGGCGAGAATGAAGGGACGTAATGTACATTGAACGACGTTTCAAAGCCACGTGTACGTGCTATACACATTGTGGAAGTCCTGCGCACGTTTTAAAGCTCTCTATCGCAACTTGGGCAAGGGAATTTTTTGCTGACGTCGCGTCAACTGTGTGAACAATTTGACAAGCTGGGAACTTGGCACTGTTGAGGCAAATGTTTATGCTATCATTTAATGGGCGATTCAAGATTATATCTGTACGGATTGATTTTTCAGCAATTTTCTAAGGAAAAAGGGCATTTTCATTATAACTTCCGGTCTGATGACGTCATACGCCTAAAAATTTGCACACGTCTTAAGTGGGTCAAGGTCATCATATACACCAATATTTAGGCGATTCCGACAAACTTCGCCACAGACATCTATTCAAAATACATTTTTGCTAATTTTCAACCTGTCGCTAGAGGGCGCTCGAAGATTGCATGACGTCATGGGTAGATGATTTGAAGAATACTATCAGTCAAGAGACTAACACCGTTAAAAGCAAGTTCATATCTATTACCACTTTTAAATAATAAGCCACTTCCGGTTTTGGCCTTTTTCGACCGGAAGCAAAGGTCACGTGATTTCACGCACACTGAATAAAATAAAGACCTTAACCTATTCTACCACTTGCCGGCAACATTATGCTGCGGACGCGTACGGTTGATTTCTTATGCATTTTTAAATATTAAAATTGTCAAAATTTAATTGCCTATAAATAAACACCGGATGACGTCATCATGACGTCATCATTACACAATGTTGTTTGAATTAGGGTCTTTGCTTGGACAAAGATTGGTGTAAATAAATAACTGGCAAAGAGTCGAAAATGCCCTCTAAAAATTGACATTTTTTTAAAAAATTTCTGTGTACAAAGTCTATGGGAAAAATTAAATATTCAAAACTCTATAATAAATCACGTGATGACGTCAGCATGACGAAAAGTTTCGGCATACATCCTCAGATGATGGTTAATAACTATGCTGAGTTTAAAGTTGATCGGATTTAAAATAATTGCCAAAGTGGCTTGTAGAATAAAAACGTGTACAAAACCTATGGGAAAAGTGGAAAAAGAAAAAAAAAAAAAGAAAAAAAAAAAAAAAAAGGAAAAAAAAAAACTTTAACGAAAACAAGAGCTGTTCCCAATTGAAATTGGGAACAGCTAACGAGCATTTCTCTTTCATTATTGCTGAAACAACTAAACATTGGGAAATACTGCATGCACTGAGCGCATACGATGTGCAATGACGCACTCGTTGGATGCGCGCGTGACACAGAAATATTCTGTTCACTAACTTGGGCTTGGAAACTGTGTCGCTGAATATGCACGCACTTGATTATGTCAAAGGAAACACGCACATTGAACTGCCGCTGCGTAGTGAACATTTATGACTTAAATGTGTTGCGCATGGCAAGAGTAATTGCTTTACATACATTAAGTTGAGCACTATAAATGATGTGCTTAGATCTTTCTTGAATACCGTCAAGCGTCCCACCTAAGTTAGCAGGATGCTTAGATTTAAGTGTGACTTAAGTATTGTCTTAAGTTTTGAGTTTTGTGAATACGGCCCATGAAGTATAAGCCTCAATTAGGCAGCTTATTGCTATCACTTCTCTCATCCAGCTACCTGTATTGTGAAGGTGTCTTTGTGTTTTCCAGGTGAGCCAGTGGTTGAGTCTGCAGTGCTGATAGGTGGTGGATTTGATGGGGCCACAGGAGGCTTTTCTCCCACGGCTGTTGGCAGCTGACTGCCCATTCTTGTTGGCTGGTCATCCAGGTTCTGTCTGACTGGCCCATCAGTTGAAGGGGCTTCTTCTAGTGGTTTCAAAGGCAAATACGATCTTTTCCTTTTCATGCTTTTGTTTTTTCGTTTCCAATAACACTAGTCAAAATACAACGAAGAATGTTCAAAACCTAACCTGTTGAAGTTTTGGATTGGTGGATATTACACTTTCGAGAAAAATAATGAAAAACCATTCACAACCTTTCGATCACAACATTTTTGAGGAGTGTTCCCAGCAAAAAAAAAGGGCAAAGGAAGTTAGGGGTCTCGTCGATCACATCTCTTTTGGTAAAGAGAGGGTTGAGGTTTAACCCTAACCCACCTCCTCCTCCAAAATCCTCCTGGCGGTTTTGGAGGATTCTAGAGGATTGAGGATGAATGGTGATTGAATCAAATGAGGATTCTGGAGGATTGAGGATGAATGGTGATTGAAGCACATGAGGATTTTGGATGATTGAGGATGAATGGTGATTGAAGCACAAGAGGATTTTGGAGGATTGAGGATGAATGCATTTTGAGGCAGGACTGTCTGATGATTTTGAAGGATTTGGCGTTGGTCATCCTTCATTTAAACACGAGTGCAAAATTTTGGGATGAGGAGGATTTTGGAGGATTGAGGATGAATGCATTTTGAGGCAGGACTGTCTGACAATTTTGAAAAATTTAGGCGGAGTTGCAAAATTTTGGAGGATTTTGGAGGATTGAGGATGGTTGTAAGCAACAAGGGCCTAGGGGGTTAGGGTTAATGGTACAACTTTTCTGCTCCACATAACTGGCCCCAGTGTGGCTGAGGACTGAAGCTCAGGGGAATAAGCAACAGAACAATCTGCTCACCTGGAACTTTCATTTTGTCCCGTTGAAGGAATCTGAGTGCATTTCGTGACTTATCCTCCGTGCCCAGCTTGATCAGCTCGGCTGTGGACTCTCCCTCCGACTGGCTGTTAGGTTGGCTCATGTGCTTGGAGATGTCGCTGATTGTGTGACTGTCGTAGGGGTGGCTGCAGGGCATCAAACAATCAGTTAGTAAGGGTTTGATAACAGTGTAGGTAACCAGAACATATCAACTGTCAGGACGGCATACTGGATGGAATGATCTACAAAATAACGCCAGTGTATTAAAATGAGGTAAAATTTCTTTACAAGCTCTTACTTACGAGCGTATAATGTGATTTTTAAAACTTGTGATGGCCTTGTGATGGACTCGTGATTGACTCGTGATGGACTTGTGGTGGACTTGTGATGGACTTGTGGTGGACTTGTGATGGACTTGTGATGGACTTGTAATGGACTTGTAATGGACTTGTAATGGACTTGTGAAGGACTTGTGATGGACTTGTAATGGACTTGTAATGGACTTGTGAAGGACTTGTGAAGGACTTGTAATGGACTTGTGATGGACTTGTGATGGACTTGTGGTGGACTTGTGATGGACTTGTGATGGACTTGTGAAGGACTTGTAATGGACTTGTAATGGACTTGTGATGGACTTGTGATGGACTTGTAATGGACTTGTGAAGGACTTGTGAAGGACTTGTGATGGACTTGTAATGGACTTGTGATGGACTTGTGATGGACTTGTGATGGACTTGTGAAGGACTTGTGAAGGACTTGTGATGGACTTGTGATGGACTTGTGATGGACTTGTAATGGACTTGTGATGGACTTGTGATGGACTTGTGGTGGACTTGTGATGGACTTGTGATGGACTTGTGATGGACTTGTAATGGACTTGTGAAGGACTTGTGATGGACTTGTAATGGACTTGTGATGGGCTTGTAATGGACTTGTGATGGACTTGTGATGGACTTGTGATGGACTTGTGATGGACTTGTAATGGACTTGTGAAGGACTTGTGATGGACTTGTGATGGACTTGTGATGGACTTGTAATGGACTTGTGATGGACTTGTAATGGACTTGTGAAGGACTTGTGAAGGACTTGTGATGGACTTGTGATGGACTTGTGATGGACTTGTAATGGACTTGTGATGGACTTGTGATGGACTTGTGGTGGACTTGTGATGGACTTGTGATGGGCTTGTAATGGACTTGTGAAGGACTTGTAATGGACTTGTGAAGGACTTGTAATGGACTTGTGGTGGACTTGTGATGGACTTGTGATGGACTTGTAATGGACTTGTGAAGGACTTGTGATGGACTTGTGATGGACTTGTGATGGACTTGTAATGGACTTGTGATGGGCTTGTAATGGACTTGTGATGGACTTGTGATGGACTTGTGATGGACTTGTGATGGACTTGTAATGGACTTGTGGTGGACTTGTAATGGACTTGTAATGGACTTGTAATGGACTTGTGATGGACTTGTGATGGACTTGTAATGGACTTGTGATGGACTTGTGATGGACTTGTAATGGACTTGTGATGGACTTGTGATGGACTTGTGATGGACTTGTGATGGACTTGTGATGGACTTGTAATGGACTTGTGATGGACTTGTGATGGACTTGTGGTGGACTTGTGATGGACTTGTGGTGGACTTGTGATGGACTTGTGATGGGCTTGTAATGGACTTGTGAAGGACTTGTAATGGACTTGTGAAGGACTTGTGAAGGACTTGTAATGGACTTGTGATGGACTTGTGATGGACTTGTGATGGACTTGTGATGGACTTGTGGTGGACTTGTGATGGACTTGTGGTGGACTTGTGAAGGACTTGTAATGGACTTGTGATGGACTTGTGATGGACTTGTGATGGGCTTGTAATGGACTTGTGAAGGACTTGTAATGGACTTGTGATGGACTTGTAATGGACTTGTGATGGACTTGTGATGGACTTGTGATGGGCTTGTAATGGACTTGTGATGGACTTGTGGTGGACTTGTGAAGGACTTGTGATGGACTTGTGATGGACTTGTGATGGGCTTGTAATGGACTTGTGATGGACTTGTGGTGGACTTGTGAAGGACTTGTGATGGACTTGTGATGGACTTGTGGTGGACTTGTGAAGGACTTGTGATGGACTTGTGAAGGACTTGTGATGGACTTGTGGTGGACTTGTGAAGGACTTGTGAAGGACTTGTAATGGACTTGTGATGGACTTGTAATGGACTTGTGATGGACTTGTGATGGACTTGTGATGGGCTTGTAATGGACTTGTGATGGACTTGTGGTGGACTTGTGAAGGACTTGTGGTGGACTTGTGATGGACTTGTGATGGACTTGTGATGGGCTTGTAATGGACTTGTGAAGGACTTGTAATGGACTTGTGATGGACTTGTGATGGACTTGTGGTGGACTTGTGATGGACTTGTGATGGACTTGTGATGGACTTGTGGTGGACTTGTGAAGGACTTGTAATGGACTTGTGATGGACTTGTGATGGACTTGTGATGGACTTGTGATGGACTTGTGGTGGACTTGTGATGGACTCGTGATGGACTCGTGATGGACTCGTGATGGACTCGTGATGGACTCGTGATGGACTCGTGATGGACTTGTGATGGAGTTATGATGGCCTCGTAATGGACTCGTGAAAGACTTGTGTTAGACTTGTGATTGACTTGTGATGGACTCGTGATGGACATTGTGTTGAACATTTTTTTGTGTCCAGGCAAACATTCAACTAATTTATGGGAGCACAAGTATTTTCCCAGGCTGTTCTTGAAGGGAACTCTCCCACTCGTAATCCTGCAAAATCCTCTTGAACCCCTTGATGGATTCTGAGGGGTCTGTGTGGATTAAGGTTAAACAAGTATCTTTGATATACACAAGACAGGTTACCTCAGTGTTACAGCTCCTTAACAGTACAACAAAAAATCACACCGCAGTACGAAACAAAAGTCCCCAAATAAAAACCCCAGGCACAAATATTATGACAGTGACCTACCGGTTGTGCTCTGTAACAGCTGGTCTGTAGTGCTCCCCCTGCCTGCCTCTAGGACCTAGCTCCTCTCTCAAGACATCGGTGATGGCAGACACCGTACCCCTGGTCATGGTGTCGGGGTCCACAAGATGATCAAGATCTGATTGGTGAATAAAAAATGAATTTTTTAGCCACTCTGCTGAAGAAAAAAAAAGATCGCTATTTATATATCTGCCAGGACTCTGCCGCACACACCAAATATCCGAATACTCGATCATCCACTCGAATAGTATTGTAAAACAAATCAAATATTTGAAAAGTTTGAGCGCCTTGAGAGGATGACGAAAAAGTCTGTGATTGTACCTTTATTCTTATAGTTGAGTGGTTATATTCTTTGTCAAATGCCAGCTTTTTGGCAGCCACTTTACATGCATGCTTTGAAAACGTCCATGAAGATCACTAACCCTAATTGAATATTCAAAATCTGTCAAATATCAACTAGTCAGCAACCTCAAATAAAATAAATTGATATATGATATGACATTATTCACATTTTTTTAACTTCAATGTCAATGTTCGAACATTTGATCAAATCCGAAAATTCAAGTTTAATATCCAATTCTAAATTAAAAAATGCGCAGCACTGAAATCTTTGCCCTTGCATTTAAACAAATCTTTCCCTACTGGACACAGTTGAGTCCAAATAAAAACATATTTAGCTGCAGACATCTAACAAAGACCATCCTGCATATCTTAATGGCACATATTGCCCAGAGGGGGGAGTGTGTGGCCTAGTGGTTAGGGTTCGTGACTCATGATCAGAGGGTCCGGGGTTCGAATCCAGCCGCTGGTCATATATTGTGTCCTTGGGCAAGGCACTTCACCCCCACTTGCCCCTCTCCACCCAGGAGTATAAATGGGTACCGGCATTAGCTGCGGAGTAACCTGCGATGGACTAGCATCCCATCCAGGGGGAGTAGAAATATTCTCAGTCGTTTCATGCTACTGAAACCGGAGATAAACGCCGGCCTGATGAGCCACATTGGCTCGGGACAGACTTTACTTTTTACTTACATATTGCCCAGATACATATTGGACAGATTTTAATATTCAACAGTGAACATCATGACCATACCTTCATTGTCAGTAGTGGATCCTTCACTCTCGATGCCCTCCATGATATAATCCATGACCCCCAGCTGGATCTCCAGCAGGTACTGGATGGCCACCCGGTCCCCTTCCACCACGGCCCGCCCGCTGATGTGGGACAGGTCACAGTGTAGGACCTTGTCGGCAAGATGGTCCACCACCAGCTGGACGTTGCGGATCTCATCCTCCTTGGTGACTGGGACGTAGGACACACCTGGGATAAATTCAAATACAAGACTATGCTTGACTTGTTGTGCTGTGCTCAAAATTCTGGGTTATGACTTATGACATCATTTTTACTTAGTGACTCTGTCATTCAGTCAGAGGACTGGCCCTGCAGATCTAGTAAAAATGTGATGCTCCCCAGCAAAATGTAGGCTAGTGACCGTCAAATTTGTTTGATATAGTTTGCTTCATTTTCTTATATTAACAGTTTCTTCAACTACTCTGACTGAAGCAAAAATGCAAATTCTTTTAGCTTGGAATCCCTGGATTGGCATCAGGTGTCACAAATACCACGTGTTGTGTGTCTGTTACATGTACATTATCTGGACAGTGCATTAGATAAAATAAAACGTTCACATGTGGTGAAAATTTACCAAATTTGAAATGTGTTCGACTTCTGGTGAATTTGCAGAGCACTGTGCCTGTAGTGATTCCACAAAGTTTGCGCAGAAGGTATATTTTTTCCCAGTTTGAAAATTTTGGACTCTCAATACTTTGTATATGAGAGTCCCAAAACTTAAGGCATTGAAAGCATGCAATACAAGAATAGACTGGCACATGAAACATCTGGTAAGTAAATGTAGTGTCTATTTCTACTAACACTTCCATAGTCATGCCACCAGACTACTGTGAAGGGTCAATCTTCTCCAAAAGTGGGACATGTGCCAGTCTAGCCTTAGGCTTCAAATTGAAATAACTTGGCTTCACTCTGAGTTGCAAAATGTTAAAGAAAATGAATTGAGACCTCAAACTTGGCTGGTGAAATACCGGTACTTAGCACCTTTTCTTTGCCTCATGAACATTTTGGTGAATTTTGTTGGCTTAAAAAGTTGGCCTGATTTTGATTTGCATGTTTTTCTGCACCCAAGGTCCCAGTCTGGTTTTTCCCATAACACTGCTGTAGTTGGCTCAGTATTATTCACTGAGCGAAAGAATTATGTTGAACCCTTATGAGCATATTTACTTTGGTAATAAATACATGCTTGGGTTTTATAGACCTAAACCACCTTTTTGAGCTAATAATATACTTACAGCTTTTAAAAAACTGTTACGTTACCTTTGAGTGGGTCGCCCAGGATGCCTTCACAGAGAGCCACAAAGACGGAGGAGGTACACTCTGATAAATCTTTCACACTCGGCAAGTTGACTCTCTTCAGTAACTCATTTGCAACAGCTGTGTCATCTGAAATCATTTCAAAATCAAAATGTATGCCAGAATCACTTTAATGCTGTTTTTTTTTTGTCAAGAATATTGTGAGATTGCGGTTGTGATTAATAAGTTGTGATAGCATTCCATTTCAGCCAAATTAAGTTCTTCGTTTTTAGAGGAAAATAATCAACTTTTGTGTATGCTGATGAAGAGGACTTGCATTGAGACTAAGCAGTAACAAATGGTTGTCATGATTGCAAAACAAAATCTGAATTTCAAGTCCATCTGTATTAAAAATTAAAACGTTAGGGAAAAAAGTTGGTAGGGAACTACACACAACGTGGACAAAAATGGGCAAAATAGGCAGAGGTTTTTACGACATTAACCCTAACGAAACTCAACCAATCAAACCCCAACTGCATGTTTTGCTGGAATCTGTCTGGATGGGTACAGTACCCCTAAACTGACAGTCTTTTACATTGGGTTGGCACACCTCCAGAAACAAAAGTCAGAAATATGTGTGTGCAGTTTCCCATATGGTGTTGGAATCTGCCAGGATGGTTCCTAGTTAATCATGCTAGGGAGTTGGGGTTAATCTAGACTAATAACTTTGCCAGGAATTATACATGTATGTGTGACCTTTTTTGTTGTTACTAAGGAATAATCTGCAACACAGGAAACATCACTACAGATTGCAGATTCTCCACAAACTGGTAAAACTCAAATTTGCTTTAAGGCCAAAAAAAAAAGGTCTCCGGTTTCTGGTATGGAGCTTGCCCAAAAAGTGGTGCGGCGACGCGGCTTTTTTTTTTTTTACCTGTCTTTTTTGGTTCAAATGTCGGCTGATGACTGCAAATGGTGCCCGACTAAACTTAGTGCAAATAATGGGAGTCCGGAGAGGCCACATAAAGCTTATTCTCGATCATAGCCCCATCTAAAAACACACGTTAAAATTGTGCAGCAGCAGGATTCCAGTCAAACCAGTGAGTTTGGCGGTTTTGAGACATCATCTTTTATTGAAAAAAAAACTTTTTCATTTTGCCGACGCGCATGGCTACGGCGACACGCGCGCATACCAGAAACCGGAGACTTTTTTGGGGGGCCAAATGAAAGTACACTTGAAGTTTTTTGGCCATTTCTGATTTTACTTGAAATGCAGATTTGGCATTGAAGCCTACCTCTTGAGGTGTTGCTATCCAAGGCATAACTGGAGTAATCCATGGTTGCTATTGCTAACTTCTGCTTCCTTTAGTTGCAACTCATTCTGCATCAAATAAAACGGAAAAAAATGTTGCACTCTGCCGCCACTTCCCCGCTTGTGCACAAAGTCTATGGAGAGTCAAGAACATTAGTTTTTCCTAACAATATTGGAAATGTTTCTCAGTCCCAGATTCATGTCATATCATCATTTTTGCAATGACTGACCTTCATTGAGATGATAATAAGCCACTTTGGAGTTACTACTAGTACTGGGCATGCGCACATCAAGATGCAACGATTCACTTTTGTGGATAAACAGTTTGCCATACGCGTGCAAAATCATAGCGGGGTAGCAACGAAATCTGTACGGACATGACGGAATGAACACGGTGCGTTTTGAACTTGATAACTTGATATTCTATGAAAATCAAAGGGGCACAATTGCAGAATACCCCGCCACTTACTCCTAGAACTATGAGGCTCCACGTAGTGGAGCCTCATAGATTTAGAACCCCGCAAAATTGTTGTCAGCACAAAACACTAATTAAGTACAAAAACGTCCATCAAAATGCAGACATTTCCCACAGAACCGCTGCACAGTTTGCCCCCAAACTCCGTACCACACCTCATGACATACTCACAAAATATGCGCAGAACAAACATCGCTGGATTTTGTCGTTTTTTTTGGCTAAAATGATGAAAAATATGCCCTTTCCGAAATGAGCCAACCTGACACTTGAAACGAGCACGCATATGATCGAGCGATGATTTTCGGTTCGCTTGGAGCGCACCGCGGGGGGGTACGGTACAAGCGAAATGATAGTATGCGCATGCATACAAGTGCATGTACCGTACCCCCCGCGGCGCGCTCCGAGCGAACCGAAAATCATCGCTCGATCATATGCGTGCACGTTTCAAGTGTCAGGTTGGCTCAGTGCGGAAAGGGGATATTTTTCATCATTTTAGCCAAAAAAACGACAAAATCCAGCAATGTTTGTTCTGCGCATATTTTGTGAGTATGTCATGAGGTGTAGTACGGAGTTTGGGGGCAAACTGCAGCGGTTCTGTGGGAAATGTCTGCATTTTGATGGACGTTTTTGTACTTAATTAGTGTTTTGTGCTGACAACAATTTTGCGGGGTTCATAGTTCTAGGAGTACCCGCCACTCACCTATCCCACCTCGTATCCGGATACGCGGATACGGAGTCATGCTTGGATGCTCAACCAAAACGACACGCGTGTGCCACCCCGTATCCCCGTATCCGCGTATCCACTTCCCGGCACCTACTCACCTACTTTGGACTTAAGACGTTTTTCCCCAAAACCACACGCATACGCCACCCCGTATCCCCGTATCCGCGTATCCACTTCCCAGCACCTACTTTGGACTTTGACGTTTTCCCCTGCTCCCCATTCAAATCACGTTGTCTCTGCCTTCGTTATTTTCCAACATGGATGGATACGGAAGCTTGAATTGCCTTCCGCGATACCGCGTTACCGCGATAATTTATCGCAGAAATCCGGAAATCAAAGATAATTCCTTCCCCGATACCGCGTTACTGCGATAATTTATCACAGAAATCCAGAAATCAAAGATAAATCATTCAACGATACCGCGTTACTGCGATAATTTATCACAGAAATCCAGAAATCAGAGATAATTCCTTCCGCGATACCGCGTTACTGTGATAATTTATCACAGAAATCCAGAATTCAAAGATACGTATTCCTCGATACCGCGTTACTGTGATAATTCATCACAGAAATCCTGAATTCAGAGATAATTCCTTCAGCGATACCGCGTTACCGCGATAGCTTATCACAGAAATCCGGAATTCAAAGATAATTCCTTCCTCGTTACCGATTTGTCTTTGAATTCTGGATTTCTGTGATGATTATCGCGGTAACGCGGTATCAAGGAAGGAATTATCTTTAAATTGCGGATTTCTGTGATAAATTATCACAGTAATGTGGTATCGCGGAAGAAATTATCTCTGAATTCAGGATTTCTGTGATAAATTATCACAGTAACGCGGTATCGCGGAATGAATTATCTCTGAATTCAGGATTTCTGTGATAATTTATCACGGTAACGCGGTATCGAGGAATACGTATCTTTGAATTCTGGATTTCTGTGATAAATTATCACAGTAACGCGTAGCCCGACTGCGTCTGGCCGTACAGTACTATCGCAAGCTCTGTAGTACGGCCAGACGCCCGATGCTTCCACAGAGACTGAATTTTGTTGGCCGCCGATGTAGCGATTTTGCGATGGGCGCGCCTGCATATTGCATACATTACAGCGCGGCCGCCATTTTGAAATCGCATGGGGGATCGCATGGGGGACGATATTTGTGGAATCTGATGACTGAAATTCGTCTTGTGGCCAGATGGATGAAAATATTGAGACCAAACAACGTTTTTTCGAAAAAGGTATGAGTTGCTCTACGACTACGAACCTTAACTTTGGAAATTTGTGTCCTGGATGAAAAGATAATCGCGATCGAAAGATGTAGCAAAATCGCTACATCGGCGGCCAACAAAATTCAGTCTCTGTGGAAGCATCGGGCGTCTGGCCGTACTACAGAGCTTGCGATAGTACTGTACGGCCAGACGCAGTCGGGCTAAGTAACGCGGTATCGCGGAAGGAATTATCTCTGATTTCTGGATTTCTGTGATAAATTATCGCAGTAACGCGGTATCGTTGAATGATTTATCTTTGATTTCTGGATTTCTGTGATAAATTATCGCGGTAATGCGGTATCGCGGAAGGAATTATCTTTGATTTCCGGATTTCTGCGATAAATTATCGCGGTAACGCGGTATCTCGGAAGGCAATTCAAGCTTCCGTAGATGGATGCTTCGTTCTCAAAAATAATACAGGGAAATAGCGCCCTCTTTAGACCCTCCAGCGCTCAAATCCACCCCGTACGGCGTATCCGCGTATCCACTTCCCGACATCTACAATAACTACATGTACTTTGGACATTTCTGCAACATTTTCCGACTGTGTAGCCATTTATTTTTAGGGGGTAAGTTTCGCGTGGCGGGGTATTCTGCAATTACTCCGAAATTCACGAAATGGAACTCTCAAAATGAATACAAACCGATTGCTACTGCTAGTCGCTGTCAACTTTCAAACAAACCGCGGCCATCTTGATTAAGCCGGTACTGGTGGCTCAGATGATACAACGTTTTTGATTAGTGTTTATTTGACCACGTGATATTGATCATGGTACGCAATTTCTCATTGGAAAATACAGTAGATCACTGGAGCGGAAGTTGATTTTGCGGGACTCGCGGGAAATGCGCACGTGTTGTTTGTTGATGTTGTGCCCGTAGACAAATTTCTAAACTGTAAAATTTAGGTAAAAATTAACGTCGCGAATTATGAAATCGCCATTTCTTTACTTGTTTGAGTTTCTGATTTTGGGAATGTCTTACAGATATATGGATGCATGGGGCAGCTAAAAAAAACCTGTGATTTAAGGGCGAAAAAACTGCCGTGTGTACTCAGTCAGTGCATCAGTGTAACTATAGTGTAACTGTAACTTGAAGTGGCTCTCTTTTGTCTTTGGTCTATGGCGACAGAATAATCACAAAGACAAAAGAGAGCCAATTACACAGCCCTGGTTGCCGGGGCTATAGTATAGGCCCAGATCATCATGCGATGATAAATGAATACTAGTGGACTGCCTCTCTGTATAGTATACAGGTATAGTCATGATAGTCCCAACTAAAGTGAGAAATTTCCCCAAATATATTGTTGGGACTGTCCGAACTTATTGCGACCATTACCATTATTTTAGATGGCATAATTATAGTAGGTAATTACTAACACCCAGCCGGCACACTTGCTGGCCAACTTAGTTCGAGTATTATTATAGGACTCTACAGTCCTTCAGTGAAATTACATCCTGTCTCAGCTTCACCGGTTTCGAGCTTCACCAGTTTGCATCCTTCTCACGCCTCACCGCACCCATCCTTATAACATCGCATCATCGTTGGAATCCCTCATTCTCCTGACGACGGGCAGAGCATACTGTTCGAAACGTTGAGTCCCTCCGGCTCTTTTCAGAACCACACATACTCAGAAAAGAGATTTTTTGTCACATGGTGCTACCGCAAACTTATCTTGTCTTAGTAAAGTACAAATCGCATTTTTTAACATTTGGTCATGGTCATGCCATATTATGGTCCCCAGAGGATGTCAAAACTATGTTTAAAAAAAAGGTGATTTGAAGATTTATACTTAATCGGACTACAATTGCACTGCCAATAATTACTATGGTAATTAAAGCATGTAGAACATTTACTTGTTTTGGATTAATTGACATGTAGACTGTATTACAAACAGTGACTTGAATTGGACATGCATTGGAAAAATGGAAGCACACAGCTGCACGCCTGCAGGCTACTCAGTACTCATCAAATCAAGTTGGGCATTTTTAAATGTATAATGTTAATAATATCTGTGTAATTTCTTTGGTAATTTTAAGAAGTACATATACATTTAAGTCGGGCATTTCATGTGTTGTTTCTTTGGGAATTTTGAGAAGTGTTTGAATGAATATGTACTCGGTTTAAGACTGTGGAAAGAGACAATATTTACTTGGCATGATTGCTTATTGACATTTATGATCCTTCTAAAACAGCAGTAGGCCTAAACATCATCATGAGCACAACAAAGTTCTTCACATCTGGCAGTCCCACTGCCTGGGAGAAGACGCTCAGTCTCTATGGCAACGTGATGGAGCTCAAAGGTGCTGCCATCAAGAAGCCGGGAGGAAAGAAAGAACTTCTGGATCTGGATAAATGGTGAGCATGCAAGGCTCAAACAGTCCTCTTCAACCCCCCCCCCAAAAAATAAAACAAATTAATTAATGCAGAGGTATCATCGAGTTAATCACAAGTCTGGCCAAAAAATGAGTCAGGATAAATGGAGGAATGCCTAGTCAAAGTTCTGATGAATATCTTGTTACATATTCTTGTTTACTTGACTTAAGACTGAGTGACTTGTGATGGGCTAGTGAGGACTAGCAAATACTACACTGAGAGCTGGATTGTATAGTCGGGCGCGGATCCAGAGGGGCTTTGATGGGGCGGGGGGAGGGGGTCGAAACACCCCCCCCCCCCCCCCCCCACGCACTGATATAAAAAATAATTATAACAAAAATCTGACAGGCCTCATCACACTCTCCCTCATGCAAAAATTCCTTGATCCACCCCTGACAGTTGCAACTGACGTTCGGCAACAATTAAGTTTGAATTGGAAAGTGTTATAAATATGATTGATTTGTGTACTATTAGGATTAAAATTCTGTAATCTTTTGTGCTGTTTTTGAAGAAAGTCAAATTTCTTTTATGTCTCCTTTTTTGACCTGCTAGGTACCAGGAGGACCTGCCCAAGCTCATTCAGGAGCGAGATTCCAAGTACATCACTCATGAAGAGATCACCAAACTCATGAAATGGAAACTCACTGTAATACTTACTATTAGATGACTTTAATGGTTTCAATATTAGCTAGTTAGGTATCAAGGTGACTTTTATAGTGGAGTGCCGTGGCCTTGTGGTCTGGGGCATTGAATTTGTGGTCTGCGGGTAATTCTGCAGGTTGTGGGTTCCAGTCCAGCCTGGGGTTATGGTACGCGTGCCCTTGGGCAAGGCACTTTGTCACCCATTGCTTATCCCCACCCAGGAGTAAATGGGTACCTGTGAGGGCAGAGATAGTTATTGTGATTCATTTGAGCTGTGTGCCAAAATGGCAGCATTGAGCTGTATACTACCCAGGGAGCTCAGATTGTATTTGGAATGTTTCATTGGCCAATGATCAGGGGTAATAATATTTTTAAGGGAATATACATCATTTGCTTTTGCTGTAATTTTCAGAAATGGATGGAATTGGGGGGTTGGAAATATATAGCAAATATAGTTACACTGACTTTTTTGAGGTTTTGGGTTCGAAAATGCTATAAAAACCAAGAAAAACAATCATTTTTTCTGTAGTCTGGTTCCCTGACTCCATATAAGAAGAAACAGAGCAGTTTACATACATTGGGGAATTGTAAGGTCAGGGAACCAGTCTAGCTGGCTTGTACCCGTTCATAGGTGTGTAATCGATTGCAAACAAGTGCGATGGTCAATTGGGGCCAGTATTTGAAAAAAAGCCAGTTTTTTCCAACGCTGGTCGGCTGACCAGCGTTGGAAATTGATACAAAAATACCACTTTTCTTGAAAATGACAGTATACCAGGTGCCATGATTTTACAGGATGCTTTACACTGTTATTCACTAACAGTCCAGCAAGGTATTTCAAGATGATTTGGTAGTTTTATTTTTTGATGTTTGCAAATGTTGTATTTTCCCTTTAAATAGCATGATCTTATTTAAAAGCGCTATATAAGAACCTGTTATTATTATTATTATTACTCGATATGAGCCAACACACCACACATCCCATCCAGGATCCCACTTATTGTTTTTCACAAACTTGAGAGTGGAAAAAAACATTTATTTTTGAAACCTAATGAAAACACAGTTTTAATCCTGAATGTATGTATGAGGTTTTCTATAATGTGATTTTCAGCAAATCTCCCACAAATACATCTGAAGTGTTATTTAGTATTTTAAGTCTCAAGTGAGTGAATGGTCTATAATCTGTCATTGAATTTCAGAGAGGCAAATTCCGGCCCAGACTCTATGACATGGTGCAAGGCAACAAGCCTGAGCTGGTTGAGTCAGCGAGTAAGAAGGCCTTCAAGAGCCTGCCAAACCTGGCTAAGGCCATCAAGGAATTGACAGTCCTGAGCGCTGTGGGGCCAGCCACTGCTTCTGGTGGGTGAAAATTACTCTTGTAGTTGTACTTGCAAGGGCGGATACAGAACCAAACTTTTCGGGGGGGGGGGGGGGGCAAGAGGGCTTTTTTTTTAAAGGAAGGTGATTAAGTATAAATTATCGAGTGCTATTTCCACATTGTAATATTAAAAGTAAAAGATATGTGTAGCTGATGGCTTGCGAGGGAAATGCGCAACTTGTCCTGAAAAAGTTACGACATAAGTGTCTTCAGTCATCTCAGGCCAAGTTCGTGCAAGGACTATAGTTGACTAATGGTTAACTAACGTTTGCCCGAACTCTTTCTAGTCAACGGTGGTTGACTACGCTAGTCGACTATTTGGAACCAACCTACTGGGGTTGGTTGCTTCGCTGGTAACCAATAGCTGCGCGCATCCATAACGCTAGCAGAGAGCCAGGATCCAGAAGTTTTGCGATGACATTTTGACCAGCCTTTGACTAGAGACGTTCGCACGTTGCTATCAGTGCGCAGGCGTAAGGTACGTCACAAATCAACCACTAGTCGACTAATGGTCCTTGCCCGAACTTGGCCACAGTTTGATCACAAGTCAATCACAAGTCATCCAGTCCCAAGTCATGCAACTCACCAGCTATTCAAATTAACTGTGACAAACTAGGGCAATCCTTTGTCGTCCAGTCCCTGCTGTCCTCGGAGTTTCTGGTCACCGCCTGGAGGGCACCCAGATCGTGGTAGGAGCAAAGTTTGCTACCCTGACACCATCTCCAATGACATTGGTCTGGATATGACTGAGATCCAGCAGCTCATGAAGGATAAGGCGACCTGGCACATCTTTGTCAATGCTGCTTCTGCCATTCTGACGACAGATGATGATGATGATGTGCAGCTACTTGTAAATTGACTTGTGAATCGACTTTTAAATTTACTTGTCACCGGTCATGTAAAGTACTTTAATGATCCGCAAAAGTCCCTCGACTACAACTCTGGTAGACATATTTGTGTCTTCCTAGGATTCTGTCTTTCTCTTTCACAAGACTTTTACGCTAATGAAAAAGATGTCCTGGGTTCGAGTCCCAGCTGAGCAAGCTTATCAATTTTTTTCTCACAAGCTCTTGGACAGCATTGCATCAGTAACGGAAAAATTGCATCAGTAACGGAAAAAGCCCATCATTACAATATTATATCCCTCCACTTTAAAGTTTCATCAAAGTCTTCTTCTGCCTTCTACTCCGACTTCCATTCTACGTCAGTGCAATTCGCCAAGATGGTGCTGAGGCCGTCTTCCCCCCCCCCCCCTTAACAATTTTGAGTCCCCTTAAAGCATCCTCTCATCAAATCAGCCTCTCCCCTGAATCAAAAATAATAAGGGCTTCATGTGATAATAAGAACAGTTTTTTTTTTAAATTAGAAATATTTATCGACTTTGACTACTACTCCGACTTCTTTGTAGCTGTCTTGGCAGCAGGAGCTCCCCAGCATGCACCCTTCATGGCCGATGAGAGCATGCTGCCCATACCAGGCCTGGCTCCACTCAAGTACACACCCCAGCAGTATTCTCAATACTCGGCCGAGGTCAGCGCATGCGTCAAGAGGCTCAACAAGGAGGGTGAGTGACAAATAAAAAATACATGTACTAGGGTTCACTCAACAGCCATTGTGAAGGATTTTGTGAGTATTCGTGTTGCGCCCGCAGGTAATTTTCTGTGAACTGTGCAGCATTTATTCATCAGTGTTGAATATACCAAAGTTATAATTCATAGCCATTCAATTTTGTTTGGTAGGGAGGTGTGAAAGTCAACATCATGGGACCACAGAAAACAATTTTGAGAATGTTAGTTTGTTTATAAAATTAGCCTACAACTTAACTCATCAAAAGGTTGGTAATGGATCAATCCGTTTAGCCACGCCACGTTATGCTTTGACCTATCACAGCAATGATAGCACAACCAAAAGTCTGATGATGGTCCCAACGCGCAGGCACTTGCTGTTGCATATGACATGCGTGGCTGGAACATGGGATGTGGCACTGGAGATCGAGGCACAAGTACTTTTGCCCATGGGGGTATATAGGGCATAATGGATCATAGATCATTTCGGACTAATGTGCTATTTCCAGTCAGCTGTGTAAATACAAATAGTTTGTGTAGTCACCAATCCTGCTTTAACCCTAACAATCCCCATTGAGTCGAACTCCAACACCAGGGTTTGTTGGAATCTGTTGAGTACTGCACTAGTAAACTGATTACGCTTTTGGAGTTATGCATACCATCAATAAGAGTCCAATAGTTTTTGTGTACAGTTTACCATACGGTGTTGGAATTTGTGGGGTTTAGGATTAAACCAATACTGCATGATAAGGTGATCTGTACTGTTAAATTGTTTTCAATTCTTCAAACACAGAATGTAAACTTTGGTTTTGGATCACAGCATCAACTGTTTTGCCTCCGTACGTTGGACAAAGATCCTACATTAATTGGTTAATAAACTGTAACTGCCTACATCAATTACTTTCCCGTCTTCCTTTTCCGTTGCCAGATGCAACCAAGCAGTGGACACCGCACAAAGTGGAGCTGGCTCTATGGACCCACTACATGGCCAACAAACTCCAGCCTAGTCTCCTAGAGCAGCTAGAAGCTGGCGAGAAAAGAAAGTCTTCTGAAAATGGCGGCAAAGATGACACAAAGCGGGCCAGGAAAGGCGATGCCAAGTGACATCTTATCAGTTTAAAGCTATAGTCCATCATTTGCAGCCATCCGAAAAGTAACTGGCGTAATTACTGTTGAAAAACAAACTTGGTTGAAAGATAGTAAGGGAACTAAACTCCCTGTGAAATTATTCTTTCTGGGAAGCTGTCATTTTGAAGTAATTAACGAAAGAAGGCATTTCCAACGGTGATTCTTAAGAAGCACCTTAGGAAAATTTAAATTAGTAGTTCGTTTTGTTATTCAGCGCAGCGCGCACAAGTATTGGAACGACGCACACGCGCGCGCGGTTGTTATAATTCGTCGGATCAGTGCGCGACACCGCGTATAGCTGCAATTCAAAACAATTCAAAACATGATTCAGTAACTTTTGATTTGAAATTGAGATCTTAGAATGCTGCTTTTCTCGGAATGTACAGCTGAAGCTTAGCTGAAACTTGATCAGTTTAGTTGCTCAGTATCCTTCATCAGATTTTGAACACTTATGTTGCTGCAAACGAACAAAATGCACTAATTACAAATGATGGACTATAGCTTCAACACATCTCCAACTTTTGCTTTTTCTTTAACAAAAGCCGTGTTATCGTTGGCTCGTTTGGAACATGTCATGTGATTGGCTAGCTTTTGAAAGTTGCTACCTCTTCGAGATTTATATACATTGTATACGTAATTTATAATTTCGTTAATCTCTCTGTACTTTTGTAAACTACCTAGATCATGAAGAGTTATATTTTTGTAATTATAAGGGCATGTGAATTACAGTACAAGTTTTTTTTTACATTTGTTAGCAAAAACTGTTGCACATTTTGCCATTCTCAATAGTTGGTTAGGCAAAAATTCAGAAACAAATTTCTAGGCCGAGAAGACCCTCCTGAAATAATGCGAGTGAAAAGGTTTTTTTTCTTTCACTGGAAAATCTGTTAAAGTAAAGCTATGCAAATTTTGTTCCTTGCATTCGTATTTGTTTTAGTGACGGTTGATAAGACTGGATCAATGCGTTTTCATAGTTGCCTTTTTAACAGTTTATCAGTAAATTTATATTCATCTTTGTGACTAACGCAGAATTAATGTTCCAAAACATGTTTTGATGAGAAAAACGACCTTTTTTTATGAAAAGTACCAATTTGTACAAGATGGCAGATCATGTTGAAAAGTTAAGTTTTGCACAAGTTTTGTTTTTAAAGTTGATGACAGCTGAACGCAACTGTATTTATGTAAAGTACATGTATGCTGTTAAAAATGTTGTATTCAGATATTTAAGTTGTTGAAAAGTCATTTTTTTTTAAATTCAAAAAAGAGAAATAAAACCAAGACATTGGCATTCGATTGACCAGTCATATACGTGTTTATTGATGTCATAAACCAGGCCTAAAATTGACCTATCGTGGTGGAATCGCGTTAGAATTGCGTCAACGCAGCTCGTGAAACGTTGTCCAATTACATGATATACAAATGGACGCGGAACGCGTAACATCCAAGACTACAAAACTAAGGCCGTGTCCAAAACGGGCTTCAAGCCAGAGCTACAGCCACGTCAATTGTCAGCACGTCCCTGCGTATTTTCAATGGGCGCAGACCTAGACCTAGCTCTAGACAGCTGATTCGGATGCAGTCTTAGTGTACAAAAATTCCATATTGTTGTCTAAGGGGCGTGGCTAACTCGCAAACGGCAATAGGTCAATTGCATTAAATCATTAACCTTTAGTTTGGGCTATTTCCCACCACGAAAAATGAAATACAGATTTATTGGAGTAGGTTGAGGAACTATGGCAAGCCCTTTACGTCTTGAATGGTGACTTAAATAGAGTTCTAATGTGTGCTTGGTAAGGTGAGGTAAGGGAAAATTAGAACTAATACTTAAATACATATAATCAGAATGCTATCCACTAGTGACCGAGTCTCTCAAACTGAACTTGGCATTGACACAACATTGTGTGATTTCTGAAAAGATTTGCACAAAGGTAACTGCACTACACAAATACAATTTTTGTTTTTCACTTGATTACAATTAAAGTGTCCCATCACATAATTATTTGGAATTTTGGAATTTCATTTGACGCTGGCGTAGAGCAGCAATGATGTCACTTGTGTAGAGAAAAATATGTTCTGAGCCTTCGGTGAGAGTGGAATAACGAAAATACGGGCAGTGAGTGCCGAGCTCCTTTTTGTGATGATCGGTGATGACTTGCAGATCCTTGATAAATCCTTGGAGTTTCTTGAGGGTTTATGCATCTTCATCTAAGTTTAAAAGAAACAACAAAATGGCATTAGAAGTGATAATTCATGCAACAATTTTTTTTAAATGACCACAGCATAATGGTCAGGAACATACATTATAACCATTTCGCGCAAGGTTTATTTTTGCCGAAAAATTTCGAAATTTTCAAACGCAAAATTTCCCATCCAACTTGGGAAAGTTATGTACGGCCAAACGCCACAAACACTGATTTGCAAGAGAGATTTCAACACTATTTGTACGATATTCATTTGTGGCAAAACCTCATATGTTTCAATAATCCGGGATGTGCACTGTATCATAAACTGTACAACAATAGGCCGTGCACATGGCCCACACAACAGTCAGCACATGGTCCGCCTCCACAGACTTCACGGTCTTTGTGTGTGTGTATATTAAGGGCACGAGGGATTAGCGTGTTTAGACGTAACCCGGAGGCGAGTGAAGGCAAACTTGACGTCTTAACCCGTCAACCGTGCCTGTGCACAAAAACAGCCAGTGCGTGTTATCACGGCCTCAGGTGATTAAAAACAGCAGGCAGACAAAAAGAGAAATTGAAACACTTTTCAGTTGCAACTAAATGTTGCAGTGGCACGTTTTAGGGATACTTCTCATGCATTTGCTTTTACATTCATTTGATCTTATGACGATTATCTAATCACAACAAAATGCTACAGGCCCATCTTGTAATGATAACATCGCAAAGCTTGCATCAGTGCCAATCTCAGGAGTTTAATATCCTCAGGATCACATAGGACAGGGATAACTTTTGCTCATCACTGAAAGGCACTCAAGCTTTGTGGAGAGACGGAGCCACGTTTTGTCAAATGGCCTCTGGTGCTTACCATTGTCATCATCTTCATCTGATGATGAGGACGTCTCTTCCGCTTCGTCGTCGGAGCTGAAGGTGTTATCGGGGATGTCGTAGATGCGAATCACAGGCTGGGTAGAAACCAAACAAAAAACAAAAGTGAAGTTGAATTTGAAATTAAGTTTTCTGGAGAAATAGAATGTTTGGTTGTTATTAGCATTGTGCATGAACCAGCTCTTTTCTTCACACACCTATATGGATTGATCTCGGAAAATCCCACATTAACATTTAAGAATTTCTTTAAAGTTGAAAATTCTGATAAACCATTAATTTATCTACATGCATACCCAACTACAAGTTTGTCAGAATATTGTTTTCTTATTTTCTGGGCGCATTTTAATTGGGTTCATGCTGCACTTCAAAAAAAATCTGAAAAACAGGCCAAAATGAAATTTCTCTGAAACTTTGTAGTGGGTACGTAAACTCAAGATTTATAACCAGGCACGTTTAGAGCTTGATGAAATTTCACTAACTGTGAAATTTGGGGTATATTGTTTTGCTCTAGCAAGGCACTAATGGTGAAAAATCAAAGTGCACCACATTAGGGGCCGCACCACATTAGGGTACATTAACAATTTATTATCCCAAATTTTAAACAAGCCTGAAATCTTGTGGTTGCACAATGGAATTAATCCCTAATAAACAAAACTGAAATTGCAATTCTGCAGAAAAAAAGAAAACAACAAAATCTTCCGCAATCCCCCTGGCATCCTGGCAGTGTATGTACATGTATAGGCAGTTATTAAGGACAATTTTCAGTGACGGCCTTGATTGTCCAACCGGCAGGTACCAGTTCTTAGTTGAATGGGGAGGTTGGGTTGAAAGTTCTCAGTTGAATGGGGAGTTTGGGTTGAATGGAGAGTTCGGGTGTTAGAGTCATTAGTATCTCTCCAGAGACCTCGTAAATATCCATATTGGAAAGGATTTTTTTTGACATCGGCATTATCTCTACAGACCACCTTTTAAGTTTGGGTGAGATTGATGACTGAACTTACAGTGAACTGGAACACCCACACACACACACACACACACGCACTTTTGTTCCTCTTCCTTTTTCCTTTGTATTCAAACTTTTCGCAACAGCTCTCATTGGTTTTGTACACGTTTTCTAAGTAAGATTTGAGGCTTTGGTGGAGATACTAAATAAAGAAAGGTTTGCGGAAACACCATGTGCGAATAATTTCTCAACTAAGAGAATGGTTCTGAAAAGAACCAGAGGTATAAACTCGACGTTCCGGTCAGTATGCTCTGACCGTCTTCAGGAGAGTGCCTAAACTCTAAGAAAGTGAATACTTTCTTAGTCGTGAATACTTTCTGGTCATCCTCGATTTGGTTCCTGTTCACCGATGATGTTGCATATGTGCGTCCTCCATTTACACCATTAACAAACGCACACGGACACACAGAAGAAATACGCGATCACAATATCCCCATGTATGGCAAGCCAGGGGGATGCAAAATCTAACGGGAACAAGTCCACAAAGAGGATGAGATGTTCATCTACCTTCATGGGGTCCTTGAGGATGAGGTACTTGCCCTCCTTGAGCTTGAAGCACTTGTCGATGATGCAGCGCAGGATACCCCAGCAGTTCTCCATGTTCAGTGTGATCTGGGAGGCCAACTCCACGGGCTTGAACTGCTGCGAGCCCAGGATGACGTGCTTGGAGGAGTCTCGCGGGTTCAGTCGAGAAACATAGCTGTGAAATGGGAAACAGAATACAGTTAGTATAAAGTGCCATTCTCTGGATATTCATGCCTTTTATGAAATGCAAAGGTTCATTTACAAAAAATTCATCCCGATGAAACTACATTCTAAAAATCGATACTGCATTTCTGCTTTTTCTTATACAGTGGACCGTCGCTATACCGAACACTGCTATACCGAACATTGGGCTACACCGAACATCAGCCTTGGCTAGTAACTTTTGTGTACAAAACGTACCGAATATTGTTGGAAAATGAAAGACAAATGGTAACCATTTCCCCAAGGAATAGAAGGAAAAAGCCACCCGTGTATTAGCTCAATACTGTTATGATTTGATTCAACAGTGGCACATGTTCAAAATTGTCCATCAGAATCTTCCAGGGCATACACGGTGAAGTTCTGCTCAAGAAATTGAAAAGATAAATGGACACGTTTGGCAACTCCATTGTAAATACAAAGTTCTACATTATAACAATGGCCAAAAGAGGGCGCCACTAATGTGTGGAAAACGCTATACCGAACGAACAATCGCTATTAAGAACAATTTCTGTGGATCCCACGATGTTCGTTATAGCGATGTTCCACTGTACAATGTTTGTAAATATCATATCATGTCAAAGGCCACTGCTTTCATATTGCTCTTTTCTAAATCCGAATTTGTAAATGTGTACTATCTGTCAAATGTTTGGTGTATATGCTATAACCCTTAAAGCATTTTGACAAGAACCTTTATGAATCACTGAACCATTGTGCAGAACTCAACAGTATAATTAACCCTAACCGAACACAACCCATCAAAGTTCAACAGCAGGTTTGTGTTTAAATCTGTTGGGATAGGTACAGTTCCCCTAAACAGATGGTCTTTTACACTGGGGTTGGCATACCTCCAGAAACTAAGTCCAACAGTGTGTGTGTACAATTTCCCATGTGGGTGTTGGAATTTGCCTGAATGGGTATGGTTCCTAGTAAATTAGGCTGGGGAGTTAGGGTTAATTAAGATTGATTTTGAAGGATTGAGTGTGTGTGGAGGGGGGGGGGATTCACGAATACATTACATGGCCATGAATCATGCTGAAGCTTCTGTCCCATGAATTTCAGCCACACTGAGGTACATTGTGCAACCCTGCAGAGCAAGATAATTGTTTAGTAGACCTTACCCAAATTTGATCTGATCCGATCCACTGAGGAGTGCACACACCGTCCACTTGGACAGCTTGAAGCTGTTGTTCTTGAGCTCGGTGGCCAGCACGGCACCGCGCTGAGAGTCCAGCTTCTGACGCCACTCGGCTATGCCAAGCGACTGGAAAAAAAGTCACACTTGGTTAACAACTTTCTAGACTGTGGAATTGTTAGACCTGTTTGAAATGATCACGAATGGTGTTACATAACGACAAGTCTGGAGAAGTGTGTGGAATATGTGATAGTTTTTGCCAAATTTGACTGGACTGAATGCAGAGAAAAAACTACGGTCGCTATGTTTACTAGGGTATGGGTATCTAACCGATTCATAATTGTGATGCGATCAAGCTAAATGAGTCATTTGTTGACAATTATGATTTTAAGATACAACCCAAAATAGGTCAGGAGTGGAAATGTCCAAATTAACTCTCTTTTTTTAAATCGAAAGGCTACATATCTCCTCTTTCATGTCAACAATTTTTTTTCCAAGAAAAACTCACAATAAAGTAGTTAAAATGTGACATTTTTGCTGAGGAGTTAATAGTCAATAACCTGAAATAAAGCATGTTTATTGTTACTTCATAAACACTTCAATTTTAAATCGTTGATTTCTCTGTTTAATTTCTCTGTTTTCTTCTTTCTGATCTGCCTGTGTTCTAAGTCCCATAACTTAGGTCGCATTCACATGGAGTTTTCACCAAATATAAACTAAAAGATAGATCTACTAGTATTCAAAAATGAAAAACAAGAAAATTTGATATGGGCTGACAAATGACTCATTTAGCTTGATCGCATCACAATTATTCATTACTAACAGAGTATAAAGCATCAATTGACTTACTGAAGTTTTATACTAGATAGAGTAGGCCTCAATCGTTTCTCCTGCAATGCCTTTCACTTGATACTTTGTTTTCGCATGGTGTAATTTGCAACTGAAATCTGCCATGAATTGTTTAATTTTGAAGACACCTTTCTCAGCTAGTTGCTATCCTCATGCTCACAATAGGACAGGGATAACTTTGCTCATCATTGGAAGGTATGTTTCAAAAAGATTTAAAAGACAAGGTTTGTAACATAATGTTGCCTCAAGAACTGTATGAAATGATATAGAATGGTGTTACATAAAGACAAGTCAGGAGAAGTGTGTGGAATATGTGATAATTTTTGCCAAATGTGACTGGACGGGGGTTGCATATTATACAAATATTGACTGCTTATCTCGTGGTGTAATAAAACTAGTCTTCAGAGGTGACCCATGAAGCATTCTATTTTTCCCAAGCCGAAGCCAAGGGAAAATAGAATGCTCCATGGATCACCGAGGGAGGATAGTTTTACTACACCATGAGATAAGTGGTCAATATTTGTTTTATAACACCTCTCCTACAGATTCTGCTTGATTTTAAGCGATAACTGATTTGAATACAATAAAAATATACTTCTATTTGAATACAAAATTAGTTGAAAATTAACTTGCACTTTTTCTAACTACCCCTTCACGAAATGTTTGAACCCAGCTCTGTAGCGCTCGCGCTTGGAAACAATACGCGCAACGTACCCTATGCATTCTGCACACAGTGCGTATAGTACTTTGGTTGCTACAGGTATAGTACTTTAGTTGCTATGGGTATAGTACTTTTGGCCGTTCACTGAAAGATAGCAAAAATAGAAAGTATCATGTGACTTGCTCTCGGCCAATCAAGACACAGAATCTGTGGGTGAGGTGTTATAAGAGAAACTGGTGCTCACCAATTGCCTACATCAACTGTGAACAGATGTAAACTACAATTCTGAGCAAAAAACGCATTTGCTCTTCCCTAACAATTGTGGGAAAAACAATTATATGAACAGAACATAAGTGTGCTTTGGGCATTTTCGAAAATGTACAAATTTTTGGGGTCGTGTCCCTGCAAGAACGGAATTGCCCAATTTATGGTTTGTGTACAAAACTACTTTTTAGATTTCAACAACATTTCTAAACTTTTTTTCTAGATTTCCAAGACGTCTATCTCCTTCATGACAAATCTATTTATATGGCAAAGCAAGAATTGTTTATTCTGTACCTTAGAGTCAAACTCGTTGAGCGTCTTGATGCTGACAAACTGCGTCTCCCCGTTAGAGCCCATCATGACACTGTCATGCTCACACCGTACAATAATATCCAGGTCATCGCCCACGTTGTACTTACGATACCTGGACGTCAAACAGGGAGTGCCAATGTCAGTCAAGGAATGAGAAAAACTCAAAAAATCTTCAACTGGACAAGGAATCCTCTATACAGTATGTCCCCCAAAAGTGTCTGTTGGACTATTTTTGAAATAGCTACAAACCCATGACGTCAATTTTGATTTTTTTTTATTTTGCAGATACTCCTTATTCCTGGCCTTAACTCCTACGAGTTTCATTTGTTTTCTATCACGCCTCACTACACAATTGTCAATTGATCACAGCAACTTTTTGTGACCAAGTTCCTTGCCTTAACCCTAACTCCCTAGGCTTTTCTACTAGGATGCAGCCTCAATCATGCAAAATCCTCCAATTGCCCTCATGGAAAAATAACATATAAATAGCATCAGTCGTGCCATTTCCTCCATCATTTCTTGAATGTGGTCCGTGGAGGGGTGACCACTGCCTGAATCCTGCAAAATCCTGCGGCAGTGACTGTCAATGTGTTCAGGCTTGGCCAGTGACATCTTGGAGCAGTGCGGAAGATTTCAAGCATAATCCTGGCATATATAGTTATGCACGGCTGAGAAAAAAAAACACAAGGTCCGGCCCAAGACCTTGACAAAGTGCATTCTACGACATCAGTAACACACTTTTGCCATGTAACCTCAATCCTCCCAATTCCTCCACTTTGGCAAAGAGGATTTTGAAAGATCCAGGGCAGTTATGGTTAATCAATTTCTGTGCACGTGCATGACGTATCGTAGGGATACGAAGCGTCACAGTGCTGCGATGCATCGTGAGTTGATTTTCATTTACAATGCAAAACACAAGACTACTGATCCCAAACAGTCGGTATTCGGACAATAAAAGACAGCAATCGTCCTAACCTGTATCCAACCGAGGCCACTTCCGAGTCGTCATCTTCTTGGAACGGATTGGACTTGTCAAATTTGTACCTTTCACCATTCTGTTTGAAGAAATGTTCATTTGCATTTAACAAGATTCAAAAAAAAAAAACCACTCATTTGCATTATAAAAGATATATTCAACTTCAGAGTACCAACAAGTTCAGTAGCACATCCTTTGTACCAATTTGACATCTAGACCCTGCATACTTTTAGCACACATCCATCTCCACAACAGACCAGCGTTTGCCAGTCTAGGTGGTTACACCCCTCCCCCATCCCCAAGTGAAAAGAAGGCACCCGCTGCAGTTACAGACAATTGTGCATACGCTTATCCGATTTTTAAGTTAAAGCTTGAGTTTTGTTCACCAATTCTGCAGTGTTGTAGTACTTGTACTCGGTACTCGTACTCAAGTACTACTCGAGTACTTTTTTTGGAGTACTCGTACTCGTACTCGTATGTCAAAGTACTCGTACTCAATATGACGGTACTCGTACTCGAGCAGCAAAGTACTCGTACTCGCACATGACGAAATTGTACTCAATCATCAAAGTACGCGTACTCGAATAACAGTACTCGATAAAACAATGTACTTGTACTCGAATAGCGGTACTCAAAAAAAAAAATGGTATATCACTTACGTTACCACGGCCTTATTTTATCAATACTTTCAGTTTGAAATGGTCGATTGCGAAGATTTTCTCGGTAATACAAGCACTCGTACTCGTTAGTACAAGTACTCGTACTCGCACTCGGACGTTCAAGTACTCGTACTCGGAGACCTGTTCTTGCACTCGGAAGCACAAGTACTCGTACTCGTACTCGGCAACCTAGGTACTTGGCAGTACTCGGTACTCGGCAAAAAGTACTCGACTACAACACTGCAATTCTGGAATCCTACATGCCTGAGCACCCATCACATGCGCATTCCGTTCTGCATAGCTCTAAACATGTCACTGTAGGTGAGTGCATTGTGCAAAATACCACTCTGGTAATCATAAGACGGTTGGGCAACTCAGAATAAGTCTATACCAACCTTTTTGAGACACTGCTGGGAGAAGTTGTGGTTGATGAAGGTGGCTTCTAGGGCCAGGTTACGGGGGGAGTTCATGTGGTTACCCTCGTCCTGTGGGGTCTCAATGGCTGTCTCATTCACCGTTAGCAAATCTGGAAATAAACAATGCGGTAAAATCGGTTTACATTATTGGATTTCAAGGTTTATTCATGTAAATGTACCATAGAGAACTGGCTTTGCTTAAAAAAAAAACAGAAGTTAATCCTTGGATAACAGCAGTAAATCCAACTTCAAAAGGTAAAACGTTGTTTAAAGTTCAACCTTAGCCCCCTAGCATGATCTACTAGGAACCATACCCATCCTGGCAAGTTCTAACACCAAATGGGAAACTTCACACACGTATTTCTGACTTTGATTCTGTAGGTGTGCCAACCTAATGTAAAAGACTGTCAGTTTAGGGGTACTGTACCCATCCTGACAGATTCCAACAAAACATGCCGTTGGGGTTTGATGGGTTGAGTCCTGTTAGGGTTTAAGGAAGACTTCTATAGGATTCATCAAACTTACCAAACTCTGGGTCATCTCTCTTGTCAAAGAAGAGCTTGCCACCAACATGCTGAAAAAAATGCAGAGAAAACAAAACCTCAGCATGTTATTTTCATCGAGGTATCATTATGGTATCTAACCGACTCTTAATTGTCCATTACTAACAGAGTGTAAATCATCACTTGACTTACTGAAGTTAAGGGCTACGCATCGGAGCCAGGTACCCGTGTACCCGACCACTGATGTCAGGAACCGGCTGCAGATCATCGGATCGGGTACCCGTAACCAACTTTACATATTACTGAGTAACTTCTCAGACAATGAAAAAGAAAGCGTTTGAATGTCATTTGTGGAGAATTTTAAAAATGAAAACCAGGCTACATGGAAAATAAAAACAGATTCATGTTTATGATACCTGCCAAAGCCCAAAATACAATTTACACCTTAATTACATCTATTGCGCTCTCTGTACACACTTGTATCTTGCTGTACTGACACACCAACGTGGTTGTATTATCATGCACACTTTTCTGAATAATCTGTACAGCAACTTCCGAGATTTAAATTTTGGGGTTGGGTTTCTTTAACGGGTACCCGATTCCTGTACTGCCCCTAAACGCACACCCCTACTGAAGTTTTACACTAGATAGAGTAGGCCTCAATTGTTCGCCTGCAATGCCTTTTACTTAATACTTTGGTATGGTGAATTTTGCAACTGATGGATTGTTTAATTTTGAAGACACCTTTCTCAGCCAGTTGCTGTCCTCATGCTCACAATAGGACAGGGATAACTTTGCTCATCATCGGAAGGTATGTTTCAAAAAGAGGAAAGAATGTAGAGATCGAGAGCCAGACGCTTTGGCTGTGTACAAAGTCTATAGAGAGTTGAGTGCATTTTCAAAGTATTTTCTAACAAAGTTGGAAATGTCTCTCAGTCCGACATTCATGTCTTTTTAACATTTTCGCAATGACCGACCTTCATTGAGGTAATATATGATGAACAAAAGTGGCGTCAGCGTGCAACATTTGTTCCCATAAAGATTTAACAGACAAGGTTTGTAACTTTATGTTGCCCCAAGGAGTCTTTATAGGCAAAGCTGAAAGATGGCATAAACTGATTCACTGTATTTTGTGAGTCTTCGTAAACGTTTGCCATGGGGTGCATATTCTAGAAATGCAATGACTTCACTTAAGGTAGAAATTCAAGTAAAACCAGATAACTTTCATTTAACAAAGGTAACTAAATCAGTAACTCAGTTAGAATTTCTTCAGCTAATGTGGGTCACTAAAATTTAGCTCCTCCATTTTCTTACCTGCACGACAATATCCCAAGAGTAGACTGAGCGCGTGCAGCACATCAGAGTGGCCAAAATGATGTCGGTGGCGAATACCTTGCCTTTTCCTGCCAACTGTTTCATTGGATTGGAAACAACAGAGGAAAATTACACTGTGACCAATTAATGAATAGCCCAATTCCGAATAATGTCAAGTTTCAATAACAACACTTGATGATTTCATTTCTTAAAAATTTATGTAAAAATGTGTACGTAATTTATTAACAGGTATGTGTGTAATTTAATAAATATCGTATCTTCCTTCAAACAATCTTGCTTCACACATGGTTCCCGACAATTTATGAACCGTAAATCAATGCAACAGTGCCCATCTCAGTACAGTCTATATCCTCATGATCACATCAGACAGGGATAACTTTAGTTCATCATTGGAGGGCACTGAAGAAACACTTCTATTTTAATCCACATTTTCCAAAGTATACCCAAAATATGTTCAGTCAGGTGGGTTACCCATAACCCAGCCTTTTTGGGTTTGAGGGGGGAGGGTTCATTGATAGGTCGGGGTTTTTTATGGTTACCTATGTAAGCATTTGTATGAACATATGTAGTACAGTTTCGATGAATATTAGTGACCAAAATTTAAAAGAAACCATGTTTTCTTGGAGTTTCCTTTCATCAAAACACTAGAAAATCTATTCAGAAACAGCTCCAGTTGATATTCATGTGCAGTTTCATTACGACAAATAAATGATGTCACAAAAAAAACTACATCATGAACTTGAGTGACTTGTACTTATAGTGCCTACCTTTCTGATGATGGGGTCGTCCGTGGTGGTGACCTTGTGGAAGATGCGATTGACCCTGGCTAGTCTCCGCTGAGACTTGGTGGTGATCCGGTCAAAGGTCTTGTCATAGTACTCCATCTCTCCACAGGTTACCCTGAGAAGAGTAAAAACATAACCACGATCAGGGTGCTTGAAAAGAGACTAATAAAAAAAATGTTCTGATGAAGTAAGCAAGGCTGTGTCCCAATTACTGGTTGTGGCTGGCATTTATCTATTAGAAGCATGTTTGTGTGTGGAAGTAGGCTTAACCCTAACCCCCTAGGCCCTTTTTGCTAAGGATCATCCTCAATCCTCCAAAATCCTCCAAAAATTTGCAACTCCGCCTAAATTTTTCAAAATTGTCAGACAGTCCTGCCTCAAAATGCATTCATCGTCAATCCTCCAAAATCCTCATCCCAAAATTTTGCACTCGTGTTTAAATGAAGGATAACCAACGCCACATCCTTCAAAATCATCAGACAGTCCTGCCTCAAAATGCATTCATCCTCAATCCTCCAAAATCCTCTTGTGCTTCAATCACCATTCATCCTCAATCCTCCAAAATCCTCATGTGCTTCAATCACCATTCATTCTCAATCCTCCAGAATCCTCATTTGATTCAATCACCATTCATCCCCAATCCTCTAGAATCCTCCAAAACTGCCAGGAGGATTTTGGAGGAGTGAGGTGGGTTAGGGTTAATCCACTTCTCATAGACTCAGGTTTGTTTTTGCATTCAATAGAGGACGTTGAACAATAGAGGACAATAGGGCCCAGAATTCTTAAGGTCCACAATTGACGATCGTGTACAAACATATAGGAAGTCTTCCTAAAAAGTTAGAGTACAACAAAAGAGAAACAATAGAGAGTTCATGATTGAAGGTGTTTACGCACTTGTGTACATGTGTGTTTACTAATGGTCATTATCTTCAAGTAAACTTGAATCCTCGATCCTGATTGGTCGATCTATGGCAACAAGCCATGCTACATATAACCATGTAGCACAGCCACGGTCCATACCGCACTCTGCGTTTTGTGATATTCCAAGATGCGCGCGCCATTCCGTACAAACCACGCACGCGTAATAGGATAAGCACTTTGTGTACAGCGTGCGTTTCATCTTTATTGTGCATCAAGTTTGCTTGAAGATAAATTCGTTAGCACGCTCGCGCTTGTGGAACACGGAAAATGTAGTGCGTCTGAGTCCCACATTCGGCCTCGTGGTATGTGGGACACAGACGCACTACATTATTCCGTGTTCCACTTGCACTCACGGGGTAACTAATATAGCCAAGTAATTTTGGACTTGGCCTGAAACTGAAGTCAGGACTGCAACCTACAATTCCCGGATTATCAATATATGTAACTGCTACATCAACCAAGATATCCAGTCCCATGTAAGTCTGATCACAGCCTACAAGTTCCTCAGTTATTTATCCAAACCCTCCTCAATCCTCCATAATCTGAAGGGGGTTAGAGTTAACCTCAATATGATTTTTAAACTACTATTTCATTTCATAATATAGATGTGAATACTTTTCAAACCTGCAGTCTCTGATCATCATCACACACACACACCCACGTGTGTAAATGCCGGCAATCGTGGACGCCCCATTGTCCCTAATCCTCTTTCCTTTGTTTGTACTCTTTTTAGCGACAGCTCTCATTGGTTTTGTACACGATTTGAGATCGTGGACGTTCGGTCAATCGTAAACGTATTGTTTGCACCCCAATTCTTTTGTCCTATGTCCACGATTGCCGGTGTTTACATACTCACACACACACAAAACAAATGTCAAAAAAAAATTAACTAAGGGCTGAAGGTACCATCATCAGAACGTCTTAATTATCCGCAGGTTTTATGAATGTCTCAGCCAGGGATAACTTCATTCATCATTGGTAGGTACAACCAGATTAACTTATCTATTACTACAATATGACGAGGACGAAGAACATGTACTGGTTTACAGTTTTCCTTGATAAACAAATAATAGAAAGGAAAGCAGTGGTGGATCCAATCAGAAGCCATACACTAAACTCACAGGTCTTCCGACTCAGAGACGTCCGGGTAGCGGAGCTTGTTGAGCCGAGGGAAGTCCAGCTCTTCTATGACCTCCCACTCGCTGCGGACCTGCACCGAGGCACTCCTGGTCTTCACTGGGCCCTGGGTCATGAACAAAAGAGGGGGAAAAAGTTCACCCTTTCTCTCAAAGCAGTGTTGCGGTTGAGGACCTCACAAGTCCTCTCAAGTCTATCACAAGTCCTCGAAAGTCCTCACAAGTTCTCACTCATTTGTCACAGGTCCTCAAGTTTCAAATCAAGTCACAACCTATATGTACAGGGTGAGTAAAAAAAAAAAAAAACAAATGTCGGGCCCATTGTTTTAGTGAAGTTCTGCATGTAGCACTTTCAAAATGTAGGATATGAAAGCCAGATTCGGAAGCTTTCTTTTAGTACAAGAATCATTCAAATCACTCGTGTACTTTTCAAGTGACGGAATTTTCAACATAACCACCGTTTTAAAGTTCTGTCCACGGATCACAAAACAGGTATGCGCTCTTTCAGCAAAACGAAAACAATTCAAACACATCCCTAATCCCTATGTGATTTGTTTTTGTTTTGCTGAAAGAACACTTGCCTTCTTGTGATCCGTGGACAGAACTTTAAAACGGTGGTTGTGTTTTTTTAAAACTTAGTACACAAGTGATTTGAATGATTCGTATACTAAAAGAAAGCTTATGAATTGGTCTTTCATATCCTAAGTTTTGAATATGCGACATGCAGAACTTCACTAAAACAATAGTCCCGACATTCGGGTTTCGCTTTTTTTGACTCACCCTGCATTCAGATGAACTGTGAATTAAAGCGTTCCTTTTTTATTGTTCGTCCCCTGACTTGCGCAGGGACTTGTGATGTACCTATGTCCGGACTTGTGATGGCCCTGTAATGGACTCGTCTACACTGTCTTAACCCCAACCCCGTAAGTGGTTTACTACAGGGTTCGACCTTAGCGGTGGTCCGCTGGCCAAATGCCAGTTGAATTGCCGGCGGACCACCTGAAACACCTTGCCAAGTGGTCCGGCTGGCCAGCCGAAAAAATCTGCGTCAAAAAAATGCTTGTTGTATTTATTTGGTTTCTTACCTACATTCGCCATTTTTTTCAAAAGAAGCCTTCGTTATTTTTACATATTCGCTTCGCGACATGACTACTTCGCAACTCGATGTCACGGTGACTATATAAATCAAGGAACGCGAGGACAGCAAGCACTGTGCCAATCTGACTCCACTTAGCAACTTGGATGCCCTATTTTCTAATTTTTGCTACTCCGAAAGGGCCAAAGGAACAGCCTACATTGTACTTTCCATTGATTGACTGACTGACTTGAGGAAAATAATATCATATCTTCCTTCAAACAATCTTAATACACACATAGTTCCCTACAATTTATGTACCAAAAGTCAATGCAACAGTAAACAGTGCCCATCTCAGTACAGTGTATATCCTCATGATCACATCAGACAGGGATAACTATAGTTCATCATTGGAGGGCACTGAAGAAAATGGACTAATTATTTTTTAAATGGTTACCTAAAGCATTTGTATGAACATATGTAGTACAGTTTCCGGAATTTTAGTGACCAAAAAATAAAAGGAACAAATTTTTCTTGGAGTTTGCCTTAACTAAGACTTCAGGGCCAAGCTCGACTGGGCAAGCCTTGTCTTGTTAACCCTAACCCTGCTAAATGCAACAGAAAGCGACAAAGGTAAAAAGTTGTTGCATAATGTTGCATTGAGCAGCCAACTCAAGTCACCGTGCTCTGTTGCATCTTGTTGCATTTAGCAGGGTAACTGTTCATAGGTCCGAGGCAATACAACAAAATCCACTGTTGCATTTAGCAGGGTCACTGCTTGGTACCAAGGCTGGTATGCAATGGGTTCACTAACCATGCTAAATGCAACAGAAAGCAACAAAGGTAAAAAGTTGTTGCATACTGTAGCATTGAGCAGCCAACTCAAGTCAAGGTGCTCTGTTGCATCTTGTTGCATTTAGCAGGGTAACTGCTCATAGGTCCAAGGCAATACAACAAAATCTACTGTTGCACTTAGCAGGGCCACTGCTTGGTACCAAGGCTGGTATGCAATGGGTTCACTAACCATGCTAAATGCAACAGAAAGCAACAAAGGTAAAAAGTTGTTGCATAATATTGTATTGAGCAGCCAACTCAAGTCACGGTGCTCTGTTGCATCTTGTTGCATTTAGCAGGGTAACTGCTCATAGGTCCGAGGAAATACAACAGAATCTACTGTTGCATTTGGTTGCATTTAAGCAGGGTAAGTGCTTGGTGCCAAAGCTGGTGCATCCTGGCTTCAATGCACAATGCAACATAATCCACTGTTGCAGTTTGTTGCATTTAGCAGGGGTCTCATTTCAGTTGTGTTGGATATTGTTGCATTCAGCAGGGTACTTAAAGAATACCTGATGGGGATTAGGATTAAAGGGAATATACATCATTTGCTTTTGCTGTAATTTTCAGAAATGGATGGAATTGGGAGGTTGGAAATATATAGCAAATATAGTTACACTGACTTTTTTGAGGTTTTGGGTTTGAAAATGCTATAAAAACCAAGAAAAACAATCATTTTCCTGTAGTCTGGTTCCCTGACTCCATATAAGAAGAAACAAAGCAGTTTACATACATTGGGGAATTGTAAGGTCAGGGAACCAGTCTAGCTGGCTTATCCGTTCATAGGTGTGTAATCGATTGCAAACAAGTGCGATGGTCAATTGGGGCCAGTATTTGAAAAAAAAGCCAGTTTTTTCCAATGCTGATCAGCCGACCAGCATTGGAAATTGATACAAAAATACTACTTTTCTTGAAAATGACAGTATACCAGGTGCCATGATTTTACAGGATGCTTTACACTGTCATTCACTAACAGTCCAGCAAGGTATTTCAAAATGATTTGGTGGTTTTATTTTTTGATGTTTGCAAATGTTGTATTTTCCCTTTAACCCTAACCCTGCCAGACGCAGCGCAGTGCATCAGGTGGAAAAGTCTGGTGCACTTTGATGGAAAATGCTACCAACACCAGTGCAGAAACCGGCCACTTCTGAGACACTGAGGGCTAGTCCCATAGAACAATGCCAGAGTTGTATCCTGCTGCGTTGGGGGACCACAGACTCTGAGGCAGTTTGGCCTTGAGACTTTTGACCTGATGGATCTTGCTACACTGGGCAGGCTTGTCACTTAGACAAGTGTTGCATGTTGCTGCGTTTGGCAGGGTTTCTAGCCAAAATACCCTGGAGGGTTAGGGTTAATCTGCATGTGTGTCAAACCCTACCAGTTACAGAAAAGACAAGTTGCCCTTTTCTAAAAAGCCAAATCACTGAAATGCATACAAAGAGTGTCCTGAGTCTGCACTCACCGAAGCCTTCCAGAATCGGTTGTTGCCCTTGTCCGACCACTTCTGGCGTCCTTTGCCGTACTGCTTCTGCAGCCGGCGCACTTGTCGTTGTCTCTCCTTCTGGGCCTTGGTCAGCGTCTGCATGTTGACCTGCTGCTGACGCTGCTCCCGCCGATCACGATCGCGTCGCATCGTGCGTTGCTGCAAGGATGCACAAAACAAAGGATGTCACTTAGTGAGTGCAACAGTAAAGAGAAAGCTTTACTGTTGAATTAAACGGACATTTCATCCTGGAATGTGTCTGATTGGGCTGCAAAACGCATTTTAAGCCAAATGACGTGAATTTTAAAGAAGGATATAAACATCCATACAACCATCCTTTAAAGACCTGGAAATTTTTGTGTTGTTCTAGCGAGAACAACTTTTCACTCTCAAAAATCAAGCTGCACATGTTCCACCCGAGTGAGTTGTATTTTGCGGCCGTGCAAGAAACAACATTTGGTGCTGTGAATATTGTGTCACACGCAACGAAAATACGAATGAGTATGCCACAAAATGTCCGCTGCTCCCAATGTAAACAACCAGGCTTTTTCATCTGGTCTCGAGAATGGTAAAGGTTAGTTTCCTTTCATCTAAATCTACAGGTTCAATAATCACAGAAAATATAGGATACTCAACAACAGGCCATCGAATACCATTTTTTTTTGACACAAATTTGCGCAGAACTGTATCCCAATGTAGTGACACCTTGGGCCATGGAAATTAAATTCGCATAGTTTTACCTATAAGGCAAAAAAACAATAGTCTCTGGTCAGTGCGTGCGTCGATTTTGATCATGAGCCTCAATCTTTTTTTCTTTTGTTTTCAATTTTTTAGCGGTAGCTTCAACAGCCCCCTCCACTGTCACACTGCCTCAAATTTTCGTACCCAAGGAGCACCAAGGAATGGGGAAGGGCACCAAGGCAAATGATGGAGGGCACCAAGGCAAATGATGGAGGGCACCAAGGCATATGAGGACACCAACAAGCAAAATGGTACCCATCTTGTTTGTACAATCCAAGCTTGAAAAAGAAAAATACATCGCTGCATGAATTCCGGAACTTTGGTCTGACCAGAGACTGACTTTTATTGTTTGCTTTTTTTGGGCCTAACAGCAAAATCAAAATTCCAAATGAAATTTTGGTTAAAGGCTACCTGATGCAAAGCCAAGGTAACCTTATGTATTCATAGAAGTGTCCGTATTTTTTTTTGGGGGGGGGGGGGAAGGAGGAGGGAGTTACCTTTTCCACTGGAATACATGGAATCCATACCATAATTCACACAGACACATATTCTGTTTTACCTGAGTAAAGCGCATCCGGTTGCGCAAGTAGATGGGTTTCTGGGTCCGCGCCGTATCTACCAGCTGGAATGAGGATTCATCCTGCTCATGGTAGTAGGTGTACTGGTTACCAGACCCAAACTGAGATGAGTACTTCCCTGTGATATGGGATTGAAATAATACAAGCCATGCTGTAGTCATCGACGATGGACATCTGGTATGAAAGCCAATTTGAAACCCTCTCAGATGCTTCTCAATAAGCCTCTGTACTGAAGACGTCACACATTGCTTACGTGTGCGCTTTTCTATGGGGCTTTTCTAGAAGGCCTAACTGAAATGTTGTGCAGCGTTAAATGTTGGGCAATAAATTGTGGCGCAAGTCCAACGCAATAGCTTAAAGTTTCATGAAGATGAAATGGGCCCTGCTGGTGTTTTAGAAGATTGTGGCTTCAACAGGACCAAAAATAATCAATAAGGTGTTTCACGGTACTAATATGCACCATCTTGCTCACGGGCATGACGGGGCACAAAAAACACGCGTTGCAAGACGCGGGCGCATTTTGGAAAAACCGCATAATGACTTTTGGAAGCGTCAAAGTTTTCCATTGACAACGATGCATGCCTACAAAGCAAAGGGTGTAAAAAATCACCATACAGGGCCATGGGAAAGACGACCATGATGGCACATACCGACGCTGTGAAACTGAAACACCTTATTTAATTATTTCATTCATAATCATATCTGAACTCATCTTACCTAAGTATCTCTTGTCTTGGTATGTCGCACCAGTCCAGTCAGACACCTTTAAAGAAAAGTATATTTAGTTTTTTCAATGACAGAGCACATTGGTATTACGTGTATAGTCGGACTCCCTATTATCGCGGCATCCCTATTATCGCGGCATGGGAAATTTCTCTTTTTACAGTGTCAAAACTCCTTCAAGTGGCGATTTTTATCCAGTTCACCAGTCATCAAGGATTTTCTACCGAGTTGTATAAAAAGGACGATTAAAAAATGTTGTGTCTTTCGGGACTTTTAACGATTTTAATAAATATTAACGTTTTCCAAAACTTGCAAAATTTTCCCTCACCGTGTCTGCTAAAAGGTACCGTTTATATTTTAACATAAATCTTTAATTGCGCTCTGTCCATGAAACTTCCATTGTCTGCTTCCCATTCTTCAGCTGCAAATGTAAAATGAAGTCGAACGACGATATTTGCAGCGCGAAATCGTAACAACTTTTACGGGATCAAAATAAGCACCGCGCATTAGCGAAAATAAAACGGCACACCGTGTAAAGTGAATGGCGCCCTCAATCGCCGATCAGTAGACTTGCCTCAGGGATTTGTATTCTCCTTTCGGGGGAAGGGCAGGGTCTTAAGAAATCATCCTGCAGACATTTTTTCTTTAATCAACTTGAACGTTACAGGGAAAATATCAGACTTTATTCAGGGGGTGTTTTGGTCAAACATAAACTATGAACAAAAAAGTTGGGATCATTATAAAAACCACTTCCCGCATACCGCGATAATAGGGAGTCCACCTCCGTTCGCACACGCCGCGCATGTCTATTTTCACAGGCATCGTACACGGAATAAACCACACCACCCGTCAGATTTTTTTATATTAATTTAAAAAGGAAGAGTTATACTACACATTAGCCCCATAAATGTGGCCTATTTACTGGACTGCCTCCGTAAACATAGGCCACACATCCACATGTACAAAAATCGTGAAATAAATCGTGAAAATATACATCTGAAAAAGGCAGCACTTTCCGACTTTGCCAAATTTTGATTTTCACATTTAGGCTTAGTTTGTAGGATTTTTTGCTTTAGAAGCATACTCACCCTCTTTATAGGCTGGTCAGAAAGTGCTGCCTTTTTCAGATGTCTAATTTTTGTGAAATTTCATGTTGAAATTTTGATACGCAAACGTGTAAAAATTAATCTGGAAATTTCTTGAAAAATATACATCTGAAAAAGGCAGCACTTTCTGATTAGCCTATAAAGAGGGTGAGTATGCTTCTAAAGCAAAAAAAACCCTACAAACTAAGCCTAAATGTGAAAATCAAAATTTGGCAAAGTCGACACGATTTTTGTACATGTGGATGTGTGGCCTATGTTTACGGAGGCAGTCCAGTAAATAGGCCACATTTATGGGGCTAACTACACATAAGTATGGTGGCCCTGAAGGGACATCGCATATCGCAAACGTGTGCGCACACGTGTGCGATGTCGCAAAATTTATCGCGAATGTGTGCGCACACGTATGCAATGTCGTGAAACAATTCGCGAATATGTGCGCACACGTATGCGATGTCGCGAAATTTATCGCGAATATGTGCGCACACGTATGCAATGTCGTGAAATTTATTGCGAATATGTGCGCACACGTATGCGATGTCGTGAAATTTATCGCGAATATGTGCGCACACGTATGCGATGTCGTGAAATTTATCGCAAATATGTGCGCATACGTATGCGATGTCGTGAAATTTATCGCGAATATGTGCGCACACGTTTGCAATGTCGTGAAACAATTCGCGAATATGTGCGCACACGTATGCGATGTCGCGAAATTTATCGCGAATATGTGCGCACACGTATGCGATGTCGTGAAATTTATCGTGAATATATGCGCACACGTATGCGATGTCGTGAAACAATTCGCGAATATGTGCGCTCACGTATGCGATTTTGTTTGCAATGTCGTGAATTTTATTGCATACCTTTGTCGCATACCTTTGGGGTGATGTCATTTTTGCGGGCAATTTGTTAGTGACCTAGGGAGTACGCAAGTGGCCCTGGTCCCATTTTGTATACCCAAGATACTTCAAGGCAGGAGCTTGGGTACCAGGCAGTTACATTTCAGCGTGGCCAAGGTCATACCAAACTAAACTTAGCCGCGTTATGGGCCCAAAACCTAGCCGCGTTCTTAGCCGCGTTCTTAGCCGCGTTCTCAACCGCGGTATCAAAATCTCAAACACATAGAGTAAAAGGTGGTTGCCTCTCTGTTTGTAGTGAAAGGATTTCTTGGACTTTCCCAACGAAATGTTAAAGTTATACAATAAATGTACTATTTTTTATGCTTTCATCTAACCGAACCTTCTATTGGGCACATCATATTTTGGAGGGGGCCAATTTGGTCCACTAATTAGCTGTTAATTAAGGCCCTATCGAGGAGTCTCCATTTTCCACTCTAAAAGTGCACAAAAGGGAATGCTGCTGACCTATAACACCCCTTTAAAACAAAATGTACCCCACATAGTTTTATAAATTTGAATTTTTATAGCATAATCCATTTCATCCATCTACTGGGAAGATCAAATTTTGGAGGGGGCCAATTCGGTCCACTAATTAGCTGTTATTTAAGGCCCTATCGAGGAGTCTCCATTTTCCACTCTAAAAGTGCACAAAATTGAATGCTGATGACCTATAACACCCCTTTAAAACAAAATGTACCCCACATAGTTTTATAAATTTGAATTTTTATTGCATAATCCATTTCATCCATCTACTGGGAAGATCAAATTTTGGAGGGGGCCAATTCGGTCCACTAATTAGCTGTTAATTAAGGCCCTAATCAGGAGTCTCCATTTTCCACTCAAGTGCACAAAAGGGAGTGCTGCTGACCTATAACACCCCTTTAAAACAAAATGTACCCAACATAGTTTTATAAATTTGAATTTTTATTGCATAATCCATTTCATCCATCTACTGGGAAGATCAAGTAATTTTATCTAGGTGGTATTATTAGCAGTTCGCAGCAGTTCATTTATCATTAATAGAACGTGCAGTTCATGTACAAATTGATCGCAACACCTGCAAATCACGGCAATTTAAATTTGCGTGCGCATATTTATTGGCTGAAATATGACACCACGTGAGTTTCAAACTTGCGCGCGCAAATTTCAAAGTTGCGCAAGTAGCAAGTTTGCGCTCGACAGGTTTATTAGTCAGACCCTATTTATATCTAACAGTACGTCTAGATTCCAGACTAGCTGCTACAACTCCCCAGTTCATTAGGAATTTTACTGAAAGGTATGCGACAAGGTATGCAATAAAATTCACGACATTGCAAACAAATTCGCATACGTGTGCGCACATATTCGCGATAAATTTCACGACATCGCATACGTGTGCGCATATATTCGCGATAAATTTCGCGACATCGCATACGTTTGCGCACATATTCGCGATAAATTTCGCGACATCGCATACGTGTGCGCACATATTCGCGATAAATTTTGCAACATCGCATACGTGTGCGCACATATTAGCGAATTGTTTTACGACATTGCATACGTGTGCGCACATATTCGCGATAAATTTCGCGACATCGCATACGTGTGCGCACATATTCGCGAATTGTTTCACGATATTGCATACGTGTGCGCACACATTCGCGATAAATTTCGCGACATCGCATACGTATGCGCACACGTTTGCGATATGCGATGTCCCTTCAGGGCCACCATACATAAGACAGGACAATTCTGGAAGGTTAGTGGGCAATCTCTATTCCGAACGAGAAACGTGATAAGTACCGCGATAATACGGCGTTCCATCCTACATGTAATTCAGCATGGGCATGATGGGGCAAAATGGTAATGGGGCGAAGTGACAAAGGCAAAGACGCGGCGACCAAAGCCGGACGCCTATCGTACCTTGCCAAGTCGATCTCCTTTTGAAAACGGCTGATACGGAATATCTTTGAACTTCTCCGGTACCGCACACGGCCCCCAACCAGTAGGATTCTCCTGGATGACAGGAGCGACGAAATGTGCCGACATTTTGGGGCGAATTCTTTCGCAAAATGTTGTCACAGCTGCTCGAAAACCTTTACACAGCCATGTGCAGAAATTATATGACCTTGTTCCCGCCCCGAAATTGGCGCGCTGTTCCTATTCTGGTTAACAGCGAAACCAGACTATTCGTTGCTCGTTTTGTGTACCGCCCTCTATCTTGCCTGAGCTGTTCGTCATATCATAATAGGGCCGGTGTGGCAGGTAATTCTGTCCCCCCTGGTAAATGTGTCCCCCCGGACAGATTTACCGGGTCGTGACCCGGTAAATCTGTCCGGGGGGACACTTTTACCTAGGTAAACCTGTCCCCCTCTAGGTAAATATGTCCCCCTGCACGACGTTAAATGTGTCCCCCCTGGTAAATGTGTCCCCGTGCAACGTCACAAGTCTAGCACCCAGACTGTATATTAGTAAAGTTATTAACTGTTTTTGCGCGGCGCCTTGCTAAATTCGGGAATGGTGCTTACGTCAAAGCACAACTCCCGTTTTGATGACGACTTCGGGAGCGAGCGATTTGCATGGTGGGCAAAAAAGACTTGAAATGCACATTTATTTTAAGCCGCATGGTTGCAAAAATAAAGACAAAATGGAACTCGAACGAGCAATTCCTCCATGCACGGACCAAGGAGTTCGTTCTTTATTATTCCTCCATGAACACACACACACACATGCATGACGCTGGGAACACAAATCAGAATAGTGTTAAATATAACACATTCTTGGATGTCCCTCACTGCGTTATTAATAGGCTTGGTAATACAGCCCGAGGAAAAGTAAGCTCCATGTATCGTGCTCATGTAACGTGCACTGTAACGTGCTCAACTGTCCGCCGAATCTTACGGAGGGCGTGCGCGCTAGCCGTATAGGTTGAGTATTACTACGCGTGCCTTTTCTGCTTTCTTGCAGAAACATAGATCGGTTGATTAACATCTAAACGTTAATTTCATTTTGATAATCATTGATGAAGGGTGGAAAAATCTAAAAATGTATACCCTGTGCGCTGAATTCATTATAATAACATCAATATAACAACTTATTCGTGCAAAACCAGGGGGGACAGAATTAACTGGAGGGGACAGAATTACCTGGAGGGGGACAGAATTAACGGGACAGGGGGGACACTTTTACCTAGGTAATTCTGTCCCCCCGGACACTTTTACCGGGGGACAGAATTACCGTCCACACCGGCCGGCGAGTGAGGCGCAGCATGCCTCGCCTAGCTAGCTGTGCGGGACGGCAGTATGTTAGAAGACATGGATGAAAACTGGGATCTGGAGTTTTATTAGCTATTCAGAAAACAACTGCTATCTGCACACCCTGTTTTTAATAAATGAGGATCGATTTCTGAAAGGAATTTTCTTTTGATTTCTTCGACATCTGTACTTTTTAAAAGAAACCTCAACCCACGGCCACTGTCACGGTGGTGAACCGTGCACGTGGGGAGTCCCAGTCCGCAAGCAAGCCAACGTCGTCCCACCGGTGGCTGGGGAGCGGCATGCCGGCATCGGCACGCCGACCCAAACCATCATCAGCGGTCCGCCGGTGGCGCTCCAAAACCGCCGATGTCGCCGGGCCGATTTTGCTCAGTCACGCGTCCCGGCCGCCTGGCTGGCTCGTAAAATCTCTAGCCGGTTGCAATTTGCCACTCTGCAACACACCCAACACCCGCCCCCTCCCCCAGCAACTATTTTTGAGCGATAATCGAAATACTGCATCGTCACGCACACATTTCATAAAGTATGACATTTTTTAAAGTTGGTGTGTAGGGCCTATACCTGCTTTTTCAAAAATTGAGATTGTCTTTTCCGGACGAAATTTAAAGGGAAAATACAACATTGGCACACATCGAAAAATAAAACTACCAAGTTGTTACGAAATACCTCACTAGGATGTTGGTAACTGGCAGTCTAAAGCATCCTGTCAAATTATGGCACCTGATGGTGTGAAGTCATTTTCAAGAAAAAATTGTACTTTTGTATACAATAACCGAACTATTTTTCAACTACTGCTCCAAATTTACCATTTGGTTTTTTGGGGTTTTTTTTTTCAGTCCAAATTTGGTTTGCTTTTGGTTCCATGTTCATGAACGGGTGCACGCCAGCTAGACTGGGTACCTTACAATTTTCCGGCATTTTTTATCTATTTCATCTTTAGTGGAGTCAAGGAACCAGACTACTTGAACATTTGTGTTTTTCTTGGTTTTTCCAGCATTTTAGAACACCGTACTTCAAACATGTCAGTGTAACAATATTTGGATCTATTAGACTAACCCCCCCAAATACTTCATTCCTGAAAATTACAGCAAAAGCCAATGGTGTACATGTACATTCCCTTTAAAAGACTATAACATCCTGTAAGGGGCCATTCAAAATTTTCAATGTTTTTAAATTTGGATTTTTTTTGCCAAAGTTGACCTATATTTGATTTGAAAAATGTGATTTGTTAGGGGCCGTTCGCAATTATCAACATTTTCACGAGCGTACAAACCGTATTACAAATAGTAAGGGGTTAACCTTGCATTTTTCTAGCAAAATAGGACACAATCAGATGATTCTTGAAAATTGCAGATTGTATGGGGATAGATGTTTATGAAACATTTCAAATTGTAAGGGGTGAACATTGCATATTTTAGCGAAGTTGGGCAAAATCAGATGTTACGAAAAATTTCAAATTGAAAGGAATTAACCTCGCATTTGGGAAAAAAATGGGAAAAAAATCAAATGTTTCTGGAAAATTGCAGATTGTAAGGGGTTAACCTTGCTTTTTGAATAAGATTGGGAAAAATTAGATGTTCATGAAAAAAATTCAAATTGTAAGGGGTTAACCTTGCATTTTTTTTAGCAAAATAGGACACAATCATATGATTCTGGAAAATTGCAGATTGTTAGGGCTTAACCTTGTATTTCTATCAAAATTGGGCAAAAAGAAATGTTTATAAAAAAAATTAAAATTGTAAGAGGTGTACCTTGTATATTTAGTAAAATTTGGCAAAATCAGATTTATACGAAAAATCTAAAATGGTAAAGGGGTTTACCTTGCTTTTTTAGCAAAATTTGGAGCATATTTTATTAAAATTGGGCAAAATCAGATGCTTCTAAAAAATCCAGATGTAAAGTTTCCGCAAAAACAGCTGTTGAAAAAGAGCCCAATCTTGAACTTTACTGAGTCTGAGGTCTATCGAAGGGACGATCCTTATTTCAACTCCCGGAGATTCGCTGACAGTCTCTATTTTTCTTTTTAAGAAAGTCGAAATAGCTGAAGAGGGAGGTGAGAATCTATATTTGCCCAGATACAAAGAGTAGAAATCTACGCGTCTGCCTTTTGAAAATACACAATTGCGGTGTTCATTGTTGCGTAATGATCCGCCTAGCACACGACTGTTTTGCACATTAGGCTGTGTTATGCAGCTTCCTAACAAACCAAACACACCGGGCTCATTATATCGACTTGTTTTTACCCATTAAGGTAAAGCAAATGGACCCAGTAATCTTCCTGGCGCGTTTGCTCACCTATAAAGACAACTTTTCTCAGTTTAAGGACAATTCTAAGGTAACGAAATGGCCCAGTGGTTACGATTCGTCGTCCACGGTTAGCGGGGTCCCGGGTTCGAATCCCGCTTGTGTCTTTTTGGTTTTTACGTATGAGTTCAATCATTTACTATAAGAGATTTAATTTCCCGTCGTAAAATACCAACAGTACCTTAGCTTAATCGGTAAGCACTGCTGCTGGTACTGTCCGCGAGTTCCAGGTTGGCGCCTTCGTACAGGTTCAGGGCATGTGGTCCACTCGGAGGATCAGGGCTTAGGGGCCGCCCTGTTCCTCCCTTAGCTCTTTGCTTTTACATGGTGCCTGGCCCTCCGGGGTTATATGGATGGATAGGGAAGGAAGTGTGTATTGGTCGGGGACGCCGAGACCCCGGAAGAGAACTAAGGGATCGGCTGGGGCATTGTTATGGCTCAGACCGATCCCTGAAAGCTTGACTAGCACATAACTTTTTGATTTTTTTGACCCTCTATCTTTTATACTTTGATTATTTTTGATATCTACAGATGCTCGGCAGGTCTACGGGTAGTATCGAAATTGAAACAAAGGTGTATGTCATAAATCAATGAATATTTCATAATTGACTATAATCAAAACGGAGTTTCGTTTGATCAATTTGACTAACATTATATAATGACGCGATTGCCAATTGACGTAAGAAACGCCATAAATTATACCAGGAAAGAATAAAGATGTACATTGTAATATAAATATTATTTATACATCTTTCAAATAACGTGTCTTTAATTGTGAGCATTCCAAACAATACAGTAATTCGCAACAGTAATAGAATGGTATATGATAGCACGATCAATGCGTCTCTATTAAATTAAAAAAAAAAAAAAATCTAGGCCCCTATGTGTGAAATATTCTTTGATTGACTATGAGCATTCCGTACGAATGAGTTCATTCGCAAAATATAGCAACAACACAAGAGAAAGGAAAAAGAGAAAATTTCTTTACCCTAAAAACTGGAAAAATAATTTGTTTTAAAAAATTCAAATGAGACACTTCATGTATTGATTTAACAGTTTGCAAGGGGTTAACCTTACATTTTAGCAACATTGGGAAAAATCAGATGTTTCTGGAAAATTGCAGCTTGTAAGGGGTTAACCTTGCATTTTTAGTAAAATTTAGATGTTCATGAAACATTTCAAATAGTAAGGGGTGAAACTTGCACTTTTTAGCGAAATTGGGCAAAATCAGGTGTTTATGGAAAATTTCAGATTGAAAGGAGTTAACCTTGCTTTTCAAAGCGAAATTGGGAAAAATCAGATGTTTCTTGAAAATTGCAGATTGTAAGGGGTTAACCTTTCTTTTTTAGTAAAATTGGGAAAAATTTCAAATTGTCAGTGGTTAACCTTGCATTTTTTAGCAAAATAGGGCAAAATCAGGTGTTTATGGAAAATTTCAGATTGAAAGGAGTTAACCTTGCTTTTCAAAGCGAAATTGGGAAAAATCAGATGTTTCTTGAAAATTGCAGATTGTAAGGGGTTAACTTGGCATTTTTAGCATAACTGGGCAATATCAGATTGATATGAAAAATCTCAA